GTACGAGACAACAATGATAAATTGACAAGATCAGGCCACACTTTTATAAACCGTCTTCAAAGCCTAATAAACATAAGAATTATATATTAATATCCTAGCCTATTTTCGTAGCTTGTGTTTTTCTTTTTTTTTTTTTTTTTTTTTTTGTTTTTTTTTTAACGAACGATGGTTCTCAATAATTCACTATAATTCATATATATGGACTTTGGGTCGGGAATTCGTGTCAAATCCCTGTGTCACTATAATACATATGTGGACCTTGGACAGGAAATTCGTGCCAAATCCCTGTGTCACTATAATACATATATATGGACTTTGGGTCGGGAATTCGTGTCAAATCCCTGTGTCACTATAATACATATATATGGACTTTGGGTCGGGAATTCGTGTCAAATCCCTGTGTCACTATAATACATATATATGGACCTTGGGTCGGGAATTCATGCCCAATCCCTGTGTCACTATAATACATATATATGGACCTTGGGTCGGGAATTGGTGTCAAATCCCTGTGTCACTATAATACATATATATGGACTTTGGGTCGGGAATTCGTGCCCAATCCCTGTGTCACTATAATACATATATATGGACCTTGGGTCGGGAATTCGTGCCCAATCCCTGTGTCACTATAATACATATATATGGACTTTGGGTCGGGAATTCGTTCCTAATCCCTGTGTCACTATAATACATATATATGGACTTTGGGTCGGGAATTCGTGTGTCACTATAATATATATATCCCTGTGTGTCACTATAATACATATATATGGACCTTGGGTCGGGAATTCATGCCCTATCCCATGTGATGCAGTCCATACTCTTCCAAAATGCTGAACTTTAAGCGAGGAGTACTAACTAGCCTTCCTCACAAGGTCGAACGCCCAACTAAAGGTCAAACGACACAGTGTCAAGGAAGGCATAAGGAATTAGAAAGACTATCAGAAACAGTAGAAAAATAGTCTGATCCAAGTTCATTTTGTAAATATTTTAGATATTTGCTGAAAACAACGATTAGAAATATTATATTTCTTTTTTGATCATTCACATTTAATACTCTATAAGTTACATACATTTGTAATGGGACATTCGTTTTTGTAATGACACCGTAAATAGATTAATCGCACAGAAACTGAGAAGTGAAACTTGCAAACGCATTAATTTTATTGAGAACTAAATATTGATCAATGTTTTGTTCAACAAAACCAGTTCCAAACGTGTGAAAAACGCTGTTTTGTTCAGTGTATTCTATTTAAAACTCCACAAAAGGCTAAGTCTGTCTATTATAGCTTCATTGGTATATTAAACTTAGAAAACTAAAACATATTTAAGAATAAACTGGCTATCCCTGGTGCGGTGTAATTCGTTTGTAGCATCGTCCAACTGTATTGATAAAGTCTGTTAAAAAGAAGAGGAATCCTGGGGAGATAATGAGTCGAAAGTTACGTTCATGATGAGAAAATTATCAAATAAGCATTTGTGAAATAAAATGATTCTTGTCCGTTCGATCCAATTTTCCCTCTTACAATGAGTGTTGTGTTCGTGTTTGTCTAGGGTGTGTATTCGTTCATACTGGAGATGAACACTCTTTGTACGAGACAACAATAATAAATTGACAAGATCAGGCCAAACTTTTATAAACCGTCTTCAAAGCCTAATAAACATAAGAATTATATATTAATATCCTAGCCTATTTTCGTAGCTTGTGTTTTTCTTTTTCTTTTTTTTTTTTTTTTTTTTTTTTTTTTTTTTTTTTTAACGAACGATGGTTCTCAATAATATACTATAATTCATATATATGGACTTTGGGTCGGGAATTCGTGTCAAATCCCTGTGTCACTATAATACATATATATGGACTTTGGGTCGGGAATTCGTGTCAAATCCCTGTGTCACTATAATACATATATATGGACCTTGGGTCGGGAATTCGTGTCAAATCCCTGTGTCACTATAATACATATATATGGACTTTGGGTCGGGAATTCGTGTCAAATCCAAATCCCTGTGTCACTATAATACATATATATGGACTTTGGGTCGGGAATTCGTGTCAAATCCCTGTGTCACTATAATACATATATATGGACTTTGGGTAGGGAATTCGTGTCAAATCCCTGTGTCACTATAATACATATATATGGACTTTGGGTCGGGAATTCGTGTCAAATCCCTGTGTCACTATAATACATATATATGGACTTTGGGTCGGGAATTCGTGTCAAATCCCTGTGTCACTATAATACATATATATGGACCTTGGGTCGGGAATTCGTGTCAAATCCCTGTGTCACTATAATACATATATATGGACCTTGGGTCGGGAATTCGTGTCAAATCCCTGTGTCACTATAATACATATATATGGACTTTGGGTCGGGAATTCGTGTCAAATCCCTGTGTCACTATAATACATATATATGGACTTTGGGTCGGGAATTCGTTCCTAATCCCTGTGTCACTATAATACATATATATGGACCTTGGGTCGGGAATTCATGCCCTATCCCATGTGATGCAGTCCATACTCTTCCAAAATGCTGAACTTTAAGCGAGGAGTACTAACTAGCCTTCCTCACAAGGTCGAACGCCCAACTAAAGGTCAAACGACACAGTGTCAAGGAAGGCATAAGGAATTAGAAAGACTATCAGAAACAGTAGAAAAATAGTCTGATCCAAGTTCATTTTGTAAATATTTTAGATATTTGCTGAAAACAACGATTAGAAATATTATATTTCTTTTTTGATCATTCACATTTAATACTCTATAAGTTACATACATTTGTAATGGGACATTCGTTTTTGTAATGACACCGTAAATAGATTAATCGCACAGAAACTGAGAAGTGAAACTTGCAAACGCATTAATTTTATTGAGAACTAAATATTGATCAATGTTTTGTTCAACAAAACCAGTTCCACACGTGTGAAAAACGCTGTTTTGTTCAGTGTATTCTATTTAAAACTCCACAAAAGGCTAAGTCTGTCTTATTATGGCTTCATTGGTATATCAAACGTAGAAAACTAAAACATATTTAAGAATAAACTGGCTATCCCTGGTGCGGTGTAATTCGTTTGTAGCATCGTCCAACTGTATTGATAAAGTCTGTTAAAAAGAAGAGGAATCCTGGGGAGATAATGAGTCGAAAGTTACGTTCATGATGAGAAAATTATCAAATAAGCATTTGTGAAATAAAATGATTCTTGTCCGTTCGATCCAATTTTCCCTCTTACAATGAGTGTTGTGTTCGTGTTTGTCTAGGGTGTGTATTCGTTCATACTGGAGATGAACACTCTTTGTACGAGACAACAATAATAAATTGACAAGACCAGGCCACACTTTTATCAACCGTCTTCAAAGCCTAATAAACATAAGAATTATATATTAATATCCTAGCCTTTTTTCGTAGCTTGTGTTTTTCTTTTTTTTTTTTTTTTTTTTTTTTTTTTTTTTTTTAACGAACGATGGTTCTCAATAATTCACTATAATTCATATATATGGACCTTGGGTCGGGAATTCGTGCCCAATCCCTGTGTCACTATAATACATATATATGGACCTTGGGTCGGGAATTCGTGCCCAATCCCTGTGTCACTATAATACATATATATGGACCTTGGGTCGGGAATTCGTGTCAAATCCCTGTGTCACTATAATACATATATATGTTTTAGAAAAGGAAAAAATATATGGACTTTGTCGTAGTGATGAGTGACCATCCCTGTGTTTACGTATAATAAATATATATTTTGTTGATCAGTCGGGAATTACTCGTGTCCTCAAATCCCTGTGTCACTATAATACATATACTACTGATGACTTTGGTTTGGTAAGTAGAATAATGTTTGATCGGTAACTTTGGTTTCTACAGGTAATCTTACTATTATGTATATGTAGCTCTATAATCCCCTTCAGTGGGCCACACATTCCCAGATATTGGCGATGTGTTTAGGATTTCCTAATGATGCTGGACGTTTACATCAACACACTTACATTAATCAATGATACAAAAGCGTCTGGTTTTTAGACAACTTAAGAACATTCCTCCAATGAGCAGATATCTAACAAATACTGGAGGAGTGAACCTTACTGAGGAATATTTCTTTCTAAATATAACGGGGAAGATCACAATAAAGGCCTTTTTGGCGTGTGTAAAGTAACTTTAATGTTGAATTGTGTATTCTCAATTCTAATTTTAAAATGCTGAAGGACCCCAATAACACAAATAGATTCTTAGTTAAACGCAATGCTTTGTACTTCTCAATGAATGTACAACGCCATCAGACCAATTCGGGAACTATGATGATAAACTACGCTTGTGTTGGTTTTGTTTTCAACAGTTTAAAAACAGTCGCTACGACTAAAAGGTTACCTGAACATACTCCCGTAAGTCAAAAAAGTAAATATAGTGTTTCGAATTTTACGATGTGTTAAATCGTACAGTTAGTATCTTAATTAAGTATAACTTTGATCCCTACGCGCGCGCGTGTGTGTGGTTTTTTTCTCTCGCAAATTGCTTTGTTGTTGTCTTGCTTTACCTTGGTGTTTATGTAAACGAACCTAAAAGATTTGAATTTTCAATAATTGCGCGACATCCGTCGGCCTGTTTGTGTGTTCATCAACTGTTATAAAAAAACAATAATAAAAGATCTTGTCTTTATGTATGCAAATTACAGAAATGTAAGTAAATCCTTCATGGGCTACTTAAGACGGAACATTTAAATACTTTTTAAACGTGTTTTTTCGAAATGTATTTCTACAGTGAACTTGTCGAAAGGGCATTTCTTATTCACTGCTGCTCTCGAATAAATATTATGGAAGAATAGATCCTTACTGAAGCACCCGATATCTTTATGGCAGCAGATTCGTCTGTAACTTTGTATCAATATTATTTTCACTACATGCCAGTGAATTAAAAGAAAACCAAGAAAATATCAACATGTCACCATAATCTTAAGACAAATCTAAATTCAATAAAAAAAAACTTGTGCAAAATATGAGCAAAGGAAAGTTTTACATGGAGACTCATGAAAAAGTACAAGAGTAAGCTAATGCTGCTTCACCGACGACAACCGCCTTACGATTTAGTTGAGAAAGGTATGACTAAATGACATACATGTGGGTCAACTTGGTTGATTTTCTTACTAAACTCTGTTAATGGTATTGACCAAAAGGCCATAACAAAACAGAGTGTCAGGCATGAAAGGAAATAACCAACAATACAACAGAATCTTAGTCCAAACCCAACCTCGATTAACTTTAAAGGGGCCGTTGTAAAGGTTTGTCATTATCTTCATGTAGACGTGCGATATATCTGACATTGTAAAGATAAGATGTGGATGTGCGAATCCGAAAATATCTCGTCTATAGACTGAATTAATTACATCAAATTGAGGTTTATATCTGTGTCCTTATACAACTGTTAAACTCAAATATATTGTATCGTTTCTTTTTTAGATAAAGTTAAACAACTCATGGCAAGTAGATTCACAATGATTGTAAAGGCACAGTGTCGTACTGTACAAAAGGACAAAGGCACTCATATTTACTTGCACCAAAACATGCAATTAATGATATTCAATCTTACAGTCAAACATTTGATTTAATGTCTTTTAGGAGAACACGCGTTAAAGCAGTGGAAGGCATTAGAGATCTGTTAGATTAGCGATTACACAATTACTTTAAGAAAACCCACAGTAAAGTTTTAATGACATGTGGTTTTAACATTGTAATTTAAGATGTGTGCTTTCCTATATTAGTATCCCCGTTAAACATATCACAGATCCAGCTATCCAGAGGACAGGTATAATATCTTGTCGAAATGTTTCAGGTTTCACTATTACTGAAAAGTCAGCGTGCAATGAAGTACTTAACTACCTAAATTTGTCCACTTTCCTGCTCTACACAACTAACTATTGTAAACCTAGATATTACACACCTATCTATTACCCATCTAACTATTATACACATAACTATTACACACTTAAATATTACAAACCTAACTATTACACACAAAACTATTACACATCTTACTATTACACACCTAACTATTACATATATAACTATTACATACCTATCTATTACATACCTAACTATTACACATATAACTATAACACATATAACTATTACACATATAACTATTACACCTATCTATTACACACCTAACTGTTACACATATAACTATTGCCCATCTAACTATTACACACCTAACTATTACACACCTAACTATTACACACAATACTACTGCACACCTATCTATTACACACCTAACTATTACACATCTATTACACCTATCTATTACATACCTATTTCACATATAACTATTGCACACCTTACTATTACACATATAACTATTACACCTATCTATTACACACCTAACTATTACTTACCTAACTATTACACACAAAACTATTGCACACCTATCTTTTACACACCTAACTATTACACATATCACTATTGCACGCCTAACTATTACACACAAAACTATTACACATCTAACTATTACACATTGACCTATAACACATCTTACTGTTACACATTTACCTATATCACATCTTACTGTTACACATTTACCTATATCACATCTTACTGTTACACATTTATCTATATCACACCTAACTATTACACATTTACCTATATCACATCTTACTGTTACACATTTACCTATATCACATCTTACTGTTACACATTTACCTATATCACACCTAACCATTACACATTTACCTATATCACATCTTACTGTTACACATTTACCTATATCACATCTTACTGTTACACATTTACCTATATCACATCTTACTGTTACACATTTACCTATATCACACCTAACTATTACATATTTACCTATATCACATCTTACTGTTACACATTTACCTATATCGCATCTTACTGTTACACATTTACCTATATCACACCTAACTATTACACATTTACCTATACCACACCTAACTATTACACATTTACCTATATCAAACCTAACTATTACACATTTACCTATATCACACCTAACTATTACACATTTACCTATATCACACCTAACTATTACACATTTACCTATATCACACCTAACTATTACACATTTACCTATATCACATCTTACTGTTACACATTTACCTATATCGCATCTTACTGTTACACATTTACCTATATCACACCTAACTATTACACATTTACCTATACCACACCTAACTATTACACATTTACCTATATCAAACCTAACTATTACACATTTACCTATATCACACCTATTACACAATTACCTATATCACATCTTACTGTTACACATTTACCTATATCACATCTTACTGTTACACATTTACCTATATCACATCTTACTGTTACACATTTACCTATATCACACCTAACTATTACACATTTACCTATATCACACCTAACTATTACATATTTACCTATATCACATCTTACTGTTACACATTTACCTATATCACACCTAACTATTACATATTTACCTATATCACATCTTACTGTTACACATTTACCTATATCGCATCTTACTGTTACACATTTACCTATATCACACCTAACTATTACATATTTACCTATATCACATCTTACTGTTACACATTTACCTATATCACATCTTACTGTTACACATTTACCTATATCACACCTAACTATTACATATTTACCTATATCACATCTTACTGTTACACATTTACCTATATCGCATCTTACTGTTACACATTTACCTATATCACACCTAACTATTACACATTTACCTATACCACACCTAACTATTACACATTTACCTATATCAAACCTAACTATTACACATTTACCTATATCACACCTAACTATTACACATTTACCTATATCACACCTAACTATTACACATTTACCTATATCACACCTAACTATTACACATTTACCTATATCACATCTTACTGTTACACATTTACCTATATCGCATCTTACTGTTACACATTTACCTATATCACACCTAACTATTACACATTTACCTATACCACACCTAACTATTACACATTTACCTATATCAAACCTAACTATTACACATTTACCTATATCACACCTAACTATTACACATTTACCTATATCACACCTAACTATTACACATTTACATATATCACACCTAACTATTACACATTTACCTATACCACACCTAACTATTACACATTTACCTATATCACACCTAACTATTACACATTTACCTATATCACACCTAACTATTACACATTTACCTATATCACACCTAACTATTACACATTTACCTATATCACACCTAACTATTACACATTTACCTATATCACACCTAACTATTACACATTTACCTATACCACACCTAACTATTACACATTTACCTATATCACATCTTACTGTTACACATTTACCTATATCACATTTACTGTTACACATTTACCTATATCACACCTAACTATTACACATTTACCTATATCACACCAAACTATTACACATTTACCTATATCACACCTAACTATTACACATTTACCTATATCACACCTAACTATTACACATTTACCTATATCACACCTTACTGTTACACATTTACCTATATCACGTTTACTGTTACACATTTACCTATATCACACCTAACTATTACACATTTACCTATATCACACCTAACTATTACACATTTACCTATATCACACCTAACTATTACACATTTACCTATACCACACCTAACTGTTACACATTTACCTATATCACACCTAACTATTACACATTTACCTATATCACACCTAACTATTACACATTTACCTATATCACACCTAACTATTACACATTTACCTATATCACACCTATTACACAATTACCTATATCACACCTAACTATTACACATTTACCTATATCACACCTAACTATTACACATTTACCTATATCACACCTAACTATTACACATTTACCTACATCACATCTTACTGCTACACATTCATTACACTTCAAACTGTACAGTATATACATTTGATCCGTTGTTTTCTCTATATTAAGTGACTAGGTGTAGTCCCCAAATATTTCATATTCCTTGCTACTTGTGCTATATTGTATTCTTAATTTACATGATTTTTGTTTCAGGAGTACTTACGATTTGGACAATATGGTGAAAATTCCTGCGTATACGATCACTAAGGCAATGGAGAAACAACACAAAAGCAAGCGTTTCATTGATATAGATCTGAAATCAATTCCCGACCCAGAGATGTCTTCTGTTAAAAGTATAAGCTTTAATCGGACCTATACTGTCGGTGACCACTTCCATGTAAAAATCATTCTCCGGGACGTACTTGGTCGTAGGCTTCAAAGTGGCGGCGATGTACTTAGAATATGGTTGGTTAATTACAAGTTGGAAGCTAATGTAATCGGAACGACCACCTACATAGGAAACGGGACATATATCGGCCAAGTACTCCTGCCTTGGAAAGGGCATGCAACCCTGCTTGTGTCGATTGCTCAAACGAGACAAGCAATAACTTCTGTCATGTCTGTTATAAATGGTTACGGAAACCTGTACGAAATGTATGGACTTTTTAGCAATGAAGTGGATCCGTATCATGGAGAGACTGAAAAAACGCTTTGTAGTACGGTGGCCAATCCCAGAATGGGCAAAGATGTGTGCAATCTGACGTCTCAGAACTTTGGGTATTCTTGGTTCTGTGCGAAGCCTAAATGTCTCCGTTGTCAGGATTGGAAAGCAGTGCGTGGACGAATGCTCACGTATCTACCGGAATACATCGTTAATAAAACCAGGTAATGTGGTGTGATTTAGATTAGTTTCATAAACGTTATAATCAAACAGCATGGTCTGAAGCGTGTTGTTTCTTATTTTTGTTTGTGGTTTATACATATATATATATATATATGTTTGCTTAAATTGTGCAAAATTTGAACAAGACACGGCGACGTAGTCACATATAGCAATGTTTGACGTCATCAGCTTCTTTTCCTTCTGGACACCGTTGCATCATCCTCATTATCATCACAAGGTTGGTCTGGTGGCGCACTGGTTACATACTATCTTCCGCTTCGATTGTCTGAAGGGATATGTATATCAAGTGTGATTAGTATTACTTAAATTGCTATCAAGATACTCAAGCGTATGGTGATAAGGTTGATTGCCGATTGGAAGCGAGAATGATACTAATTTCGACAAAGTGCCATTTGAAGCAGGCAAAGTCCATTCTAAGCAAGGACACGCCCACCGTCCATCCTTTGACGTTTTACTTATATTTGTGTCTTGAAGTCGCCCGGCAGAGTGTAGACTCGTTTTCATACAAGGTGCTTGTAGTGAAAACTGTGGGAGTTATCGCGATTTCTTGACTCTTGACTTTTAAAGTAAACGGACTAGCTCCAAAAGCGCTGTATCACTTGTTAGTTAGGAGCTGGGAGTAACCCTAGAGGGTCCAGTATGTTAACCAAACACCGTCATTTTCTACATTTGGTGTCAGTATTCGGCGAAACTTCGTTGTATTTTGATATTTCCCTTCATTGTTTTCCTTTTTTTTTTGGTCACCGGTGTATTGTACTCGTGCTCGTGGTCGCCATTTTGGCACTTCGTGGGAACACGTGTACAACACAACGTGCTATTTTAGGGTTTTATTATTTATTTTTTATTATATTTTTTTTTTCAATAAACAAAAGTTATACATGTCTGAACTACCTAAAAGTCTAGGTAGAGTGCTGGAATTAGTATTGATTTTTGTTTCGTCTTGGAGAAGGATTCGACAATACTGAAACGGTATTTTGATAAGACATTTAAGTTCATCTTACCAATGAATGAATCAAATTGATCCCGTCAAGTGTATGTCTCGTCGTTTCGACAAGGATTTTTTAGGTTTTGTTTTCTAAGATTTGTCGATCTGTTTTACCATTAGAAGGTAGATAACTTGCGTTTGTTACATTTATCCTAGTACGGTTTGTTAATGTAATAAATGGTGGGAGATAAATGTATCCAACAGATAAAGAATGTAAGATGTGAAAATACCTAATCATTATTAAATTTTTTTCTACGTGATGTTGTTTTATCTTCATACACATTATCTAAAAGATATTTACATTTTTATTGTTTTCTATGATACGACTCGTAAGTGACCCATATCATTGTTAAAGTTTCATAATTCTATGTGCTGATTCTATGTTGTCACAGTTTTGTTATTAACTGACAGGTAATTAAAACTGTAATATAATATGAAAGGCAATAACATGTTATTGCGAGACATGCGTTCGGTCTACCTTTTCCAGTGATATTTTCTTCTATATTTATATACCATGTGCTGTCTAGTATTCTGTGCTTCGTGTTTGTGTTCAGTATAATCAATTTCATGGCCTGACGAGATCAGGCTACCATAGTAGACGTCTTCGCGTTTTAGAACAATAATATTTATGAATTAAAATCCAATAACAGATATGGTACATTTAGTGTCCTCGGCGTGTGATGATGTAAGAATGGTACTAAGAGGTTTCCTTGATATCTAGCTGTCTTATCAGCCTTTAGTTAAATAAAAGTTAGTAGGCGTTCCTTAAAACTGCAATAGTTTACGCTTACAAGTATAATTATTTGGGTAGCACAGTTCAGCATTACATATATACCTCTCTATTGTGTCCCCTTAGGTCTAAACGTCATTGTTTCGGATTAAAACCTTTTAAATTGATTACAATATAAGGGATCAATAATATATTTGCTATATAGTAACATTTGATATAATTATTAAGTTTCTTTACTTTTTCATACAGTGAAGCTATTAGTGTCTATACATATGTACAGTGTACACGTAAATTGGACATAGGTGTGTTTGTTGATATCAGGGTTTGAAATCCGTCCGTTGTTTTACAAACCGGTCGAAACACAGAAATTAGTATCATCTCATGAATTTCAGTATGTGTAATACATTATCATACGTTTCTCCATATGTCCTCGAACTGCAGTTCCAACTAGTATGACATCATTGGCGTGACTTTAACGCGCCATTTTAAAGAAATTTGCCTTGGAAATAGTGTTTTAAATTTCTGATTCCTATAGGTTGAAATAGGCACGTGTTGACGTGGCGGCGTCATCCTAACGTTTGACAGATCGTGTTATAACATCCAGAATCTTAGACCTTTATAAACTCCCCGTAATATCGATATCTTTTTATCATGTTTCCGAAAACGGTTCTTAAGTCTACTTTCTATGTCTATTTCAGAAAACAACACATGGTGCTGAAGAAACGAGTCGAACTCCAAATACATGGGGGTAACAGTAGTTATAATATATGGTTACATTTGAAACTTATTTAAGTTTTAAATTCATTTCGTCAATTTTAGAATATTTTAGTCAGTGGTGCAATATGAAATGGAAAATTCGAAAAATTACTATAGCGTAATCATAAAACGAAAAATGGAGGGAAATCTTATACCTTTAAAACCTACACGAATATATCGCAGTCTTGCAAACACACACGCACGCAACACATGTACTCATCTCGCATACATCGAGAGGCTGTCGTAACTGACCCTGGCTTTTAATAACACTTCAAGCAATATCAACCTAACCAAAGACTCTTAACTTTTATAACTATCTACGCGATACTTACAGAACTGTTTTAATTCGGCATTATCATTACAGCGATTAAGGTCAGCCATTATTTTCTGTTGTTTCAGAAACGGAAACAATGCCAAGAAGTCGTATACCTTGTGAGAATAGACCCAAGACTTCTACTTGGACTGACCAAGTTCCAACAGGATTTTACTTTAAAAACACCTGGAACTTTATCAACTGTCGCAGTCGAACGACATGGACAGAGCAGACATACCAGCAGTGTTTGAAAGGGAGACATTTACTTATCATCGGAGACTCCACCACCAGACAAATTTTTGGTTATTTAACGGATCAATTAAAGTTATCGTTTTATCCTGCGCCAAGACCAAAGGGACCATATGTTCATTTTGTATTCGGATACAATCGTCCAAACAATGTATCCGTTTCGTGGTTTCCACATGAACATCCATTTTTTAATGCACAATACTTGTTGACGAGATCAATGCAGAGTGCTTCCAAACGATTGGACAACATTGGCAGGCACAACAATAGTGTAATCCTGATTCATTTATGGGCGCATCACGTCCGAACACCTCCGCATGTATTCAGACAGCACGTCCGGGGTATTAGCAATTCTGTGCAAAGACTGTTGCTCAGGTCGCCGAAAGTGAGTATTTTTATAAAAGGACCCCATGCTACCCTAGACAGGAAATGTATAATTCCAGTCGACTACTTAAAAAGTATTCACAAACAGATTTGGGTTGATGAATTTCGGGATCTACAAGACAAGGTCATTTTCCTTGATGTGTGGGATATGACAGCTGGAAGCGAGAACGTCTACATACACCCGGAAATAAAACTTGTTAGTGATATTGTCCATACCTTTATGTCCTACGCTTGTCCATCTTGATAAATATTGAGACAAGAAGGAAACTTAAGGAATGACTTCCACTTATGAATATATTCTAGTATAGTGTTCCCCAGATTCATTTGAAATTACAATGTATTATTTTATGTACAGTCACACCTCGATGTCTTTATTATTTTATGTACAGTCACACCTCGCCGTCTTTATTATTTTATGAACAGTCACACCTCGCCGTCTTCATTATTTTATGTACAGTCACACCTCGATGTCTTTATTATTTTATGTACAGTCACACCTAGCTGTCTTTATTATTTTATGTACAGTCACACCTCGATGTCTTTATTATTTTATGAACAGTCACACCTCGCCGTCTTCATTATTTTATGTACAGTCACACCTCGCCGTCTTTATTATTTTATGTACAGTCACACCTCGCCGTCTTTATTATTTTATGTACAGTCACACCTCGCCGTCTTCATTATTTTATGTACAGTCACACCTCGCCGTCTTTATTATTTTATGAACAGTCACACCTCGCCGTCTTCATTATTTTATGTACAGTCACACCTCGCCGTCTTTATTATTTTATGTACAGTCACACCTCGCCGTCTTTATTATTTTATGAACAGTCACACCTCGCCGTCTTCATTATTTTATGTACAGTCACACCTCGCCGTCTTTATTATTTTATGTACAGTCACACCTCGCTGTCTTTATTATTTTATGTACATTCTATATCGGTGTACATTCCATGGATTCGCTCGGCAGGGTTTGTTTTGTCTCTTTAAACACGTAGGCATGTTCTATTACATATAAGCTATCTGATGGTGGATTTGCCTAGTGCAGACCAAACGCTCATTATTTCATACTTTTACAAAAAAAAGTGTTGATTTCACAATTACTGTTCTCTTTAGCTGATTTTATAATTTGCATTATAGACCGAACACCCGGTATATCGGTCTCTATGGAGTGTGTTTAATCCTAATTTCTGTTCAAAAACTGAAAACTGGTTCACCAAACTGATAACACCATTTCTAGTCCTTTTAGATGTTAGGAAATGACTTTCATTGTCTTGTTTTCATTCTGAAGAAATTATCTGTCTTGCAATTTTAACAATATTACTGATATATAATTCGATTTTGTGTCCAATGGGTTACAACAGGCCATGACTCTAATAACGCGTCAATCATGGTAGTCGATCATGTCAGTGTAAATAAGCGATAAAAGTCCGACATTGATATAAGAGTTGTCTTTCCTTGGTTCAGGTCATTTTTGAATTTCAGTATAATAGGCCTACATACAACAATCATACATTTTTATTTATTTGGTCAATCCATTCTAATTGGAGTTGACTAGTTTTAATGTTTAATGCATGTCGCTTTGTATTTTAAAGTCTGTAGCCTTCTTTATATTAACCGTGTATGGATATCAAATCTGAACGTAATAGAAGTTTACAGTAGGTGAATTTAGTATCTGATGTAGGTGAAGAAGGCAAATGTACTGATGACACCTCGGCTCATCTTCTCAAAACTGACATGTGACATATTTCTTAATCATCACACGATTTACCAAACAAGTTCAATATAATCATCTAATTAACAAACTAGGTCCAATATTGTCATATAATTCACAAAACATGTTCAGTGTTATCACATGATTCTCAAAATATCACATGATTCACAAAACATGTCCATCATCATCACGTGATTCACAAAACGTGTCCAGCATCATCACGTGATTCACAAAACGTGTCCAGCATCATCACATGATTCACAAAACGTGTTCAATACCATCACATGATTCACAAAGCTCTTCAGAAAAAATGTGTTGAGGGCAAATGCGAGATTCAATTCTTGATATCGTTAAGATCCACTTATCTTTGAAGCGTGCTACAGATGCTGAACTACACGATCTGTAAATGTTTTAATTATAAATATCAAGGGTTTAGGATTCTGTCCAGGAAGGAGGAAATCGGATCACAGTTTTTATAGGTCAAGTCTCTCGTTCCCTTACCGTAAAGAGAAATGATCTTTCCAAGGAAGGACCCCACACTTTTAAACATATTTACAGATCATTTCCAGCAGATGTACACATCAGAATTCAACATAATGGACACATCCGTTTACCGCGATCTTCATCTATATCTCAACCAAAATGAACAGCTTCCCTCCAAGTGATAAGATGAATTATTTCTCTTACATATTTTGAATATTGTACAAAAAGACAAGGGACTAACAAATTTTAATACAAATTTAGAACACGATACATTAGACCCAGGTAACGAATTACCTATATAATACAGCTGTTTTCTAGGGCTCATCACTGATGCTAAGGGTCTGGATTTTGAAACCTAAGAGGCGACAGAGGAAGACCAAAATTGATCGAAAAAGATGTCGAATATCAATGGGAAGGAAGACTAGTCTCATTATTCAATAAATTCTATAATTGTCGTACATGTCTGATGATTCCAAAAGAAAACATGTGCATGAAAGTACACATGACATGTAGGTAACCATTCCATCAGCTGTATCTACCACTTGCAATCTCGAAGATTGTACAAATGACAAAGGTTAATAACACATTTACATAGATATTTAGAATCAGAAACAAGTGTGCCGACGACCGCAGCAGCCCAACTTGACTCGGACGCTTGCTTGTCTATTGGCTGACTTGATTTTGTTTTCATACGAGGCTGAGTTTATCAAAGAACTTATCACAACGTGTCACAAAGTCTGATTTCACTTTCAGATGACAAGAGAATCGTTGTATTGATCATGTCAAACAGAAACGAAAACCAAAGACGACATACTCTTCAATATTAGCCGTTTAACTCGATTCTTATACATCGAAATCAACAAAGTTGTATGTAAGCGTGATGGTTTCGTTTTCTGTGTAGAAAATGTTCCAGTTCTGGATGGCAACAAACCTGCACCCAGCTTTGGTGTTAACATGTCGCAGATTCAATGTTAAAGGGCTGGTTCCGAGTTTTCGTGCAAAACGTCGACAACGGATAGACAAGCTCGCACACTGGGTTTTGAGAAATGCATGTTGTCATAATGATCTCATTGGCAAAAACCATTTTTTTAATTTTAAGATTATAAAAATTGTGTCATGGTCACTTACGTCAAGCGAAGAAATCATTTGAAGCATTACGAACGCAAAATGTAATGTAGCAAATATTGTTACAAATCATACAATTAAGAAGGCTAACACATCAAACTGCTTTTATATCGTTATTTATTTGCAATCCTGATACGACACATACATATTCATCATTTGGAGTAATGTTAACGAAACAATGGTTGCAGAAGCGACACGTGATTATTGAAGTACCGTCATATATTTGGTCGTCTGTATATATCAAAATTGTACACAAGCTTTGTTTTATTTCTTAACGTTCGAAAGGAACATTTAGTGGGATCGTTTTAAAGTAATGGTACAAAGATCAGCATGAAATGGTGTTCATACCAAATACACAAGTTCAAGTTTTCACGTAACGTTTTCTAAATATAATTATAGTTGAACGCTTATTAGATATTTATGAACAAGCGTTTAGTCGTGCTTGATAAACGCCCTAGTGATATTCATGGTGTAGTTATATATTTAACACAAGATGGGAAATTAATCAGCAAAAATCGCATGATTTTTGTCATTTATAATTCTGATTAAGAAAATCAATGGTATCATTCGCGAGAAACCGAATATTTCCTTTATTATACATATACCACTAGAACATGTGCAATTAACAATTTATATAGATAATTATGGATCTGAATTGTTTTTGTGTGACATATCTTTACACATTTAATTTATGATAGGCAGTTTAATGACACTTAGATTTCCTATCGATTTCAAATCACAAAAACAAAACACTAAATCTAAGTCGTTGGTTCCATGATACACTAAACTATCAGGTGGCATACTACCCTACCCTTGACTCAGCATCTCGTTACTAGCTCTTAGCACCACAATATGATCGGACCTATTGTGTCAATTGTAGCAGAATTTGATTCCTTAATATCAAGTTAATAAGCAATTTCCTTATCTCGTGTTCACGGCTCATGTGAAGACTTCAATAAGAATTAACTGATACTGGTATGTATATATATTTGATAATGTTTTACCGGATGTGATGTTTGCCTATAAATCAATAAATTTCAATTTTGATTTGCACATTTTTCCACACTCCCATCAGAAATTGTACAGGAATGTAATTCATAATGTAATTTGCAGTCTGTTATTTGAGAAATTTGATTGTCGTACTGAAGCACAACGACTCAAATTACAAATGGAATGATCTGAAATGATGGTGTACCTAGTTTGACATCAATGACACTGTGTTTAAGGATCATACATCAATTAGTTTAGGAAATTACCTTCGTGAATCCCCATGAAACAAATAATATACATAGAACTATGACTTATCCGGAACACTAAAGTATCTTTTGTTAGGTTAAACCTTTTTAGTACAGACAAAACGTTACGAGTCGAAATTTAGGGTTCTTTCGACGGTTGACAGCTACAAAGATTAGCTGAGACCGTTATAAGTGAAGTGATAATGAGTCTTGGTGATTGATAATTGATGTCATGTTGTTGTTATACACTGGTTTGATCTGTGTTGACCTGTACTTCCAAGCTCTCGATATGACTCTGAGAAGGCGCCGGTGTGACGTCATTTCCTTGACTCTCTAAGCCTGCTGTGTTTGTGACGTCACTGTGTTGGTATATTATCATCATAACAGCTAAATAGTACCCCACACTGACGGCAAACATGCACGTAGACCCGAGCCCAGAAAGTACGAGTGAAGATGGCGTGTACAGCTGTATCTTCGGATCGTTGTACCGAACAATACTTCCCATTTCTGCAAGTACTTCGCCAAGGTTAGCCCACTCCATGGCAGCTAAATGAGAACAGAAATACAGTCATTGGTCACTGTTTTGAAACTTTATATAGCTTAAAATGTGAACTAAAACGTGTATCTTGACTAAAACGTGAATCAGAACCAAGGCACGTGAATCAGAACCAAAGGCACATGACCTTTTTTTAGAATAAGAATATTTCGTAATGCAAAAATTTATAAGTCAACTAAGCATTCAAGTATATGACTTTATCAAAATTGACAGATTATAAAAATCGATATTGCATCAGCCATTTCAAAGCTATTAACATTTATCAATAAAAATATTTAGTTGGACTAGTTTTCATGCAGTGACAATGATTTCGTTGGACATTTGTGAAATAAAGAAGATTGACCACTTGGGCAATGTCGTAGAAATACGAATATGATCTGAATCCATTAATGTTGCTATGGTAATATCAATATTGAGAAAGCCTGTCGTGGTTACATCAGATTTAGTCGTGTTGGTAGTGTGTCTGTACTGTAGCTAATTCTATATCAGTATTGCAATATGCACTTGTGTGTGCTCTGTACATGCCTTTGATATCGTAATTTATAATAAACTTTATTGCATCACACATCTGTTTCGTCGCTGTGGAAGTATAGAATTTTAGAAAGGTAACCGCTTACTGCCACTGTTTATTAACGATCATAAGGCACAATACTCGTACCTATCAAATGAAGCCCGCTATTATAAGCTTAAATAAAGTTAAATCGTTTGTTTACAGCCTGTTATCTGCTCTAGAGGAGATTGTGTACACATCTAGACACACGTACACTTAAAAACAAAACACTTGATATGACTGAATATCCTGTTTCCGCGAATGACAAATCACCCTCGTTACAGTTATCCGTTTTATAATGGTTATTATCATCGCTAAAACAGATAAATCACAACCACATCAATTTAACACTGCAGCGTCACTATAATAACACATTTATACAATATTAATTTTATGACATCGTCATACAAAGTATTTTAAAGTATTATAACAATTGTACAATTAATGGAATGGTGTTCGTTAAACTTACCGCCATTCCTATCCGAGTTATCAGATTGATTTGTCAAATAACAAAGTCTGATAGAATTTAGTGACAATAAAACACGTTAACATGATTACAATTTGCTAGAGGTATAATAATGTTATAAACATGGCTTAGACAAAAAAGTATGTTTTATCCACTGAACTTACCTTACTTTACCCAGCGCAAAATTAGTAACATAAACCTAAACAACCTATTATTTCCCTGATGTGAAATTGATTATTTGAACCAGACAGATGAATTCTTTACCTGGTGTAAGATTGGTGACACGGACCAGATATATGAATTCTTTACCTGATGGTGACACGGACCAGATATATGAATTCTTTACCTGATGGTGACACGGACCAGATATATGAATTCTTTACCTGAGGTAAAATTTGTGACACGGACCAGATATATCAATTCTTTACCGGATGTAAGATTGGTGACAGGGACCAGATATATTAATTCTTTACCTGATGTAAGATTGGTGACAGGGACCAGATATATGAATTCTTTACCTGGTGTAAGATTGGTGACAGGGACCAGATATATGAATTCTTTACCTGATGTAAGATTGGTGACACCGACCAGATATATCAATTCTTTACCTGAGGTAAAATTTGTGACACGGACCATATATATGAATTCTTTACCTGATGTAAGATTGGTGACACGGACCAGATATATGAATTCTTTACCTGATGTAAGATTGGTGACACGGACCAGATATATGAATTCTTTACCTGATGTAGACACGGAACAGATATCTGAATTCTTTACCTGATGGTGACACGGAACAGATATCTGAATTCTTTACCTGATGGTGACACGGAACAGATATCTGAATTCTTTACCTGATGTAAGATTGGTGACACGGAACAGATATCTGAATTCTTTACCTGCTGGTGACACGGACCAGATATCTGAATTCTTTACCTGATGGTGACACGGAACAGATATATTAATTCTTTACCTGGTGTAAGATTGGTGACACGGACCAGATATCTGAATTCTTTACCTGGTGGTGACACGGAACATATATATGAATTCTTTACCTGGTGTAAGATTGGTGACAGGGACCAGATATATTAATTCTTTACCTGAGGTAAAATTTGTGACACGGACCATATATATGAATTCTTTACCTGATGTAAGATTGGTGACATGGACCAGATATATCAATTCTATACCTGATGTAAGATTGGTGACAGGGACCAGATATATGAATTCTTTACCTGATGTAAGATTGGTGACATGGACCAGATATACGATTTCTTTACCGGATTTAAGATTGGTGCCACGGACCAGATATATGAATTCTTTACCTGATGGTGACACGGATCATATATACGAATTCTTTACCGGATGTAAGATTGGTGACAGGGACCATATATATTAATTCTTTACCTGAGGTAAAATTTGTGACACGGACCATATATATGAATTCTTTACCTGATATAAGATTGGTGACATGGGACCATATATATGAATTCTTTACCTGTAAGATTGGTGACATGGACCAGATATATCAATTCTTTACCTGATGTGATGGAAAATATATCAATTCTTTACCTGATGTAAGATTGGTGCCATGACACTTTACCTGGACCATATATATATGAATTCTTTACCTGATATAAGATTGGTGACATGGACCAGATATATCAATTCTTTACCTGATGTAAGATTGGTGACATGGACCAGATATATCAATTCTTTACTTGATGTAAGATTGGTGACATGGACCAGATATATGAATTCTTTACCTGATGTAAGATTGGTGCCATGGACCAGATATATGAATTCTTTACCTGATGTAAGATTGGTGCCATGGACCAGATATATCAATTCTTTACCTGATGGTGACACGGACCAGATATATGAATTCTTTACCTGAGGTAAAATTTGTGACACGGACCAGATATATCAATTCTTTACCGGATGTAAGATTGGCACGGACCAGATATATGAATTACACCAGATATATGAATTCTTTACCTGATGTAAGATTGGTGACACAGATATATGAATTCTTTACCTGATGTAAGATTATATGAATTCTTTACCTGGTGACACGGACCAGATATATGATGGTGAATTCTTCTTTACCGGATGTAAGATTGGTGACAGGGACCATATATATTAATTCTTTACCTGAGGTAAAATTTGTGACACGGACCATATATATGAATTCTTTACCTGATATAAGATTGGTGACATGGACCAGATATATCAATTCTTTACCTGATGTAAGATTGGTGCCATGGACCAGATATATCAATTCTTTACCTGATGTAAGATTGGTGACATGGACCAGATATACGAATTCTTTACCGGATTTAAGATTGGTGCCACGGACCAGATATATGAATTCTTTACCTGATGGTGACACGGATCATATATACGAATTCTTTACCTGATGGTGACACGGAACAGATATCTGAATTCTTTACCTGATGTAAGATTGGTGACACGGACCAGATATATGAATTCTTTACCTGATGTAAGATTGGTGACACCGACCAGATATATCAATTCTTTACCTGAGGTAAAATTGGTGACACGGACCAGATATATGAATTCTTTACCTGATGTAAGATTGGTGACACGGACCAGATATATGAATTCTTTACCTGATGTAAGATTGGTGATGGACCACGGGTGACCATGACCATATATGAATTCTTTACCTGATAAAATTTGTGACACGGACCAGATATATGAATTCTTTACCTGATGTAAGATTGGTGACACGGACCAGATATATTAATTCTTTACCTGATGTAAGATTGGTGACACGGACCAGATATATGAATTCTTTACCTGGTGTAAGATTGGTGACACGGAACAGATATCTGAATTCTTTACCTGATGTAAGATTGGTGACACGGACCATATATATGAATTCTTTACCTGATGTAAGATTGGTGACATGGACCAGATATATGAATTCTTTACCTGATGTAAGATTGGTGCCACGGACCAGATATATGAATTCTTTACCTGATGTAAGATTGGTGACATGGACCAGATATATGAATTCTTTACCTGATGTAAGATTGGTGACACGGACCAGATATATGAATTCTTTACCTGATGTGACACGAACAGATTCTTCTTTACCTGATGGTGACACGGAACAGATATCTGAATTCTTTACCTGATGGACACGGATATATATGAATTCTTTACCTGGGTGTAAGATTGGTGACACGGACCAGATATATTAATTCTTTACCTGGTGTAAGATTGGTGACACGGACCAGATATCTGAATTCTTTACCTGGTGGTGACACGGAACATATATATGAATTCTTTACCTGGTGTAAGATTGGTGACAGGGACCAGATATATTAATTCTTTACCTGAGGTAAAATTTGTGACACGGACCATATATATGAATTCTTTACCTGATGTAAGATTGGTGACATGGACCAGATATATCAATTCTATACCTGATGTAAGATTGGTGACAGGGACCAGATATATGAATTCTTTACCTGATGTAAGATTGGTGCCACGGACCAGATATATGAATTCTTTACCTGATGTAAGATTGGTGACACGGACCAGATATATGAATTCTTTACCTGATGTAAGATTGGTGACATGGACCAGATATACGAATTCTTTACCGGATTTAAGATTGGTGACAGGGATCAGATATATCAATTCATTACCTGATGTAAGATTGGTGACACGGACCATATATATTAATTCTTTACCTGAGGTAAAATTGGTGACAGGGATCAGGTATATGAATTCATTACTTGATGTAAGATTGGTGATATGGTACCTGCCATATCCGATGTCTATGTTTTACGAATTTAAATAAAATTCTTAAAAGTGCCATTTTGAATTACGACGTAAATTAACTTTCCAGAATCGATATAAATACGGAAACTACAATAGCAGATTTAAAATACTGTACCGGATATGAGAAGGACTGTTGCGGTCAACAATGTGACCACATACCGCAGTTTTGCTTGGGCCTTCCATGTGTACAAGAGAAATCCTGTCCCAGCTAGGCCGGCTACATTAAACAACAAGGCAAATACTTCTATCGTCTGCTCTCCTACCCGTCTAGCTAACCAGGTCTCTGAAAATACAGGCAATACATTTCCAATGTGCAACTTCCTGTCTGAAGAGACATGTTTTGAGTTACCTACCCTCATCTCTATCACGAAATGTTATCCATTTAAAGACAGTATTTATCGATTACGTTTACCTGATTATAATGATATAATTATGTTCGATAAAGTGTTTAGAAGACCAAATTTTGTAATAGATAGTTATTATATGACTAGAATTCAGTTTCAGAAAAGTCTGACATGGCGACCCTCATGACAGATGGACGTAAAAACCTTGGCCTATTCTCGACGATGTAATTATATATCAGTAAATAACTACGTAATTAACGATCGCTGCAAGTAACTTTTCTAAAATATTGTCTCATCCCCAGAATGGTCTTCTTTGTGGCCATTATGTAGAGTTATTTACAAAATAACTCGGTCATAAGAAATAAAGTTAATATTCAGCTATCATTACTGGTTTACCTACCACTGCTAATAAACGGTCTACACCAAATGACCCCGAAATATAATGAGAAATTAACATATGGTATTATCTGTCTGTGTGTATTTGGTTAATGAGTTAGCCTCACAGCCGATGTTATGTGTCGAATTTTCTATACAAATTAAAGATAATTCAGCTTTCCTAACGATTTATGGATAAATACTTACAACGAGTTATTCTAGTCAAATACAAAATATCGCCAGTAAGTGATTACCATTTAATTTCATCTTATTGTTTATCAAATATTTTTCTTTTAACTGCTCTTGGCAAATTCTTGTATTTCTTCAGCAAGTTAGTGTATTTTATCGTTCACTTTTGTAAATAGTGTTGCCTCAGGCTCCGCTTTTATCTATCTGAAGCTATCAAAAGACAAAGATATGCACAAAAGATAAAGGATGAGATCATTGACAATATCATCTAAATTTCTGACAATGAGTACAAAATTAACTTATAAGGCCTCACCCGAGAAGACGGAGATCGTGGTGTTAGCGTGGGTATTGTGATCGCCGTACCGCTCCAACATGGACTGTGTGTAACATCGCCGAGAGTCACAGGCCTGAAGATAGAACCAGCCAAAGTTTATTGTACCATGAATAACCTTGTTTTTAGCTTCATTGTAAACATTTGGTCCCTTTACAGTAAACATCCACGGACTGAATCGACCTATTGTGTTAAGTAACGTCCCAAAAGCCAACACCGCGGCGGATCCGTACACTACTTTCTTAGAAAACATGGCGGTATCAATCCGTTTTGTGGAACAATGGCTTCTAGGTCGCGATGTAACATATCAGCAGTAAAGCTTTTGTATCATATACCTATTGTCAAGGATGGTTGATTTGTGGATTGTTTGACGTGGCGCGCAGAGCACAGGTAAAATCTTATAAAACAACACTGTGTATCAGATGTACCAATTACTTATGTATTAAGATATTTACCTTTGTTTATACATTCCATATATACAGGTCAAAATTGATTCGTCATTTACGGCTCGGTGCGTCTTTGTCAGCGTGGTAAAGTTATTGTCGTAGATAACAAAAAAATGCTGACAGAAATAAACAGCGTTGTACATACAAGACTACTGTACGCTCCACTGTTTTAACGTGTTGATTTTTTCTACAGTAAGATCTCGAAATCAGGGAAATGCTGAACACTATCAAATGTAGGCCAGGTCTTGAATTAATGAAAGTTCCGAAAATCAATCAATCAATCATATCATATTTTAAATAGGAATCTATTTAAAACATAGAATGACGGAGAGAACATTAAAGAGTGGGGAAAATAAGAAACAAAGGAAAATGTCGACATACTACCTGAAACTAGGACAAAATATGCAAGATTTACGGAGAAACCTGAAAAAGTACATTTTGTAAGTACAATTAAAGTAAGACCAGGTGCTCCGGAAGAGCGAACGTCTTTTGCTTCATCAGCAACATCCAGAATGTTAATCTTGGTCAATCCAAGTAAGTAATGTCTCGTTCTCCAGTGATAACAAAGTAAACAGCAACTGAATCGCCATCAAACGAGAATCAAACACGTCCAACTTCCTATCACACAAACAAATAGTATATTTCTCGTTGAGATCATTATGACGACCATAGAACTTCCCTATAATTATCATCAATCTGTAACTCTCTAAACCCAGTGTTGTGAATTTTCCTGTAAATTGCTGATATTATGCACGAATATGGTGATATTGGAAACAAGCACTAAAATATTGAATCAGCTGCAACACGTAAACAAGATAGGTTTGGGATGGAGGGATGATGCTGTCCAAAAATGGAGAATTCATAATAGGGAAACTGAAATCACCACGCTTATCATATAACTTGAGTTTCATTGTATGAAATTCTTGTGGGTATACGATGAACATGGTCAGTGAATCTCTTGTTATTCAAAGAAAGACTGACATCAGTATACCTGAAGGTGAAACTGAAGGACATCGCATGGTTATCAGGGAGGTGGACTGTTTTATGAATCTCTTCCATAAATTCAGCCTAGAATAAAAACAATAACAAGTCAGCCAACATAGGGACACAGCTTGACCCCATAGGTATGCCGATAGTCTATTAGATGATCTTACAACCAAATTCGACGAAAATATTGTCAACCAGAAATTCGAACCTTGGTTGAGTAATTACATCTTCTATGGTTGAAATGAGATTTTTGATTAGTAAGAACATGTCAGGATCTGTTTCAGAAAAAACTGTGAAGATCTTCGTTTTTGTTGATATTGTGATTATCATAACTTTTAGATTCAAATTATTTTAGAATAGGGAGATCATGCATGTTTTATGCATATAGTAGAGAGAGGGAAAAAAAAGAATTTCGACTTTAGATGAGACATAACATAAATTTTATCGTATTATCACTCGATTCCCTTTAATGTTAAAACCAAAATTCATGATCTAATCTCCAGTATATGCAAAAAAGTAAGCACTTTATCCCCTAAATAAAATTGGCTACCGAAGAGTTTGAATACCGGTGTTTTAACTATCATATAGATTTAAGATTTACACTCGTCGTTTAAGTCAATCTCCGCAATACAGAGGCGATTAACAACGATAGCAATGCACTATATGATTCATTCCGAGTCTCGAACATTCATTTTCGCGAATCTTCTTGTGGTGCAGAAATTTCGAAAACAAGCGGTCACGAAAGTGCACTTTGTCGATAATGTGGAATTCGAAACCATTTTGGATCATACATTTGTTCCATCTGTTGATGTTCCAATACAGTAATTGAACAAGAACCACGATAGGAAAGAAATATCTGTATACCTGTACGGTGCATACACAAAGACAAATCCTGATAAAACTGACACGTCCATTTTTCAGTGTAATGGTCTACCTGTAAACAAACTTTGCACTCCAGGAAGCCGTAGCACGTGTCCAGTCATAGATGCGACAACAGTGATTGGCTAATTACTAAACTGCAATATATTTACGTGGTGTGATTTGTTGTATTAATAAATAACATTTGTGTAATCCATCACGATATAATGTTTGTGTAATCCATCACGATATCACATTTGTGTAATCCATCACGATATCTCATTTGTGTAATCCATCACGATATCACATTTGTGTAATCCATCACGATATCACATTTGTGTAATCCATCACGATATCACATTTGTGTAATCCATCACGATATAATGTTTGTGTAATCCATTACGATATCACGTTTGTGTAATCCATTGCGATATCACATTTGTGTAATCCATCACGATATAATGTTTGTGTATTCCATCACGATGTCACATTTGTGTATTCCATCAAGATATAATGTTTGTGTAATCCATTGCGATATGTCTGTGTTATCCATCACGATATAATGTTTGTGTAATCCATCACGATATAATGTTTGTATAATCCATTACGATATCACATTTGGGTAATCCATCACGATATCACATTTGTGTAATCCATTGCGATATAATGTTTGTGTAATCCATTACGATATCACATTTGTGTAATCCATTGCGATATCACATTTGTGTAATCCATCAAGATATAATGTTTGTGTAATCCATTACGATATCACGTTTGTGTAATCCATTGCGATATCACATTTGTGTAATCCATCACGATATAATGTTTGTGTATTCCATCACGATGTCACATTTGTGTATTCCATCAAGATATAATGTTTGTGTAATCCATTGCGATATGTCTGTGTTATCCATCACGATATAATGTTTGTGTAATCCATCACGATATAATGTTTGTATAATCCATTACGATATCACATTTGGGTAATCCATCACGATATCACATTTGTGTAATCCATTGCGATATAATGTTTGTGTAATCCATTACGATATCACATTTGTGTAATCCATTGCGATATCACATTTGTGTAATCCATCAAGATATAATGTTTGTGTAATCCATTACGATATCACGTTTGTGTAATCCATTGCGATATCACATTTGTGTAATCCATCACGATATAATGTTTGTGTATTCCATCACGATGTCACATTTGTGTATTCCATCAAGATATAATGTTTGTGTAATCCATTGCGATATGTCTGTGTTATCCATCACGATATAATGTTTGTGTAATCCATCACGATATAATGTTTGTATAATCCATTACGATATCACATTTGGGTAATCCATCACGATATCACATTTGTGTAATCCATTGCGATATCACATTTGTGTAATCCATCAAGATATAATGTTTGTGTAATCCATTACGATATCACGTTTGTGTAATCCATTGCGATATCACATTTGTGTAATCCATCACGATATAATGTTTGTGTATTCCATCACGATGTCACATTTGTGTATTCCATCAAGATATAATGTTTGTGTAATCCATTGCGATATGTCTGTGTTATCCATCACGATATAATGTTTGTGTAATCCATCACGATATAATGTTTGTATAATCCATTACGATATCACATTTGGGTAATCCATCACGATATCACATTTGTGTTATCCATTGCGATATAATGTTTGTGTAATCCATTACGATATCACATTTGTGTAATCCATTGCGATATCACATTTGTGTAATCCATCAAGATATAATGTTTGTGTAATCCATTGCGATATCACATTTGTGTAATCCATCACGATATAATGTTTGTGTAATCCATTGCGATATAATGTTTGTGTAATCCATTACGATATCACATTTGTGTAATCCATTGCGACATCACATTTGTGTAATCCATCACGATATAATGTTTGTGTAATCCATCACGATATAATGTTTGTGTAATCCATTACGATATCACATTTGTGTAATCCATTGCGACATCACATTTGTGTAATCCATCACGATATAATGTTTGTGTAATCCATCACGATGTCACATTTGTGTATTCCATCAAGATATAATGTTTGTGTAATCCATTGCGATATGTCTGTGTTATCCATCACGATATAATGTTTGTGTAATCCATTACGATATCACATTTGTGTAATCCATTGCGATATCACATTTGTGTAATCCATCAAGATATAATGTTTGTGTAATCCATTGCGATATCACATTTGTGTAATCCATCACGATATAATGTTTGTGTAATCCATTGCGATATAATGTTTGTGTAATCCATTACGATATCACATTTGTGTAATCCATTGCGATATCACATTTGTGTAATCCATTGCGATATAATGTTTGTGTAATCCATTACGATATCACATTTGTGTAATCCATTGCGATATCACATTTGTGTAATCCATCACGATATAATGTTTGTGTAATCCATTGCGATATAATGTTTGTGTAATCCATTACGATATCACATTTGTGTAATCCATTGCGATATCACATTTGTGTAATCCATCAAGATATAATGTTTGTGTAATCCATTGCGATATCACATTTGTGTAATCCATCACGATATAATGTTTTTGTAATCCATTGCGATATAATGTTTGTGTAATCCATTACGATATCACATTTGTGTAATCCATTGCGATATCACATTTGTGTAATCCATTGCGATATAATGTTTGTGTAATCCATTACGATATCACATTTGTGTAATCCATTGCGATATCACATTTGTGTAATCCATCACGATATAATGTTTGTGTAATCCATTGCGATATCACATTTGTGTAATCCATCACGATATAATGTTTGTGTAATCCATTGCGATATAATGTTTGTGTAATCCATTGCGATATAATGTTTGTGTAATCCATCACGATATAATGTTTGTGTAATCCATTGCGATATAATGTTTGTGTAATCCATCACGATATAATGTTTGTGTAATCCATTGCGATATAATGTTTGTGTAATCCATTACAATATAACTTCTACTTTTCGAGCTCACTTGATATTAATTCGCCTTGTACATTCTTATTTGATACTATGCTGTCCGTAATTTGTATATCGTGGAGTCTGAAGATTGGATTATATGTTGTTAAATGTGTATATCATGCGACTTCTGAATACTGAATTTAAGGGGTTTGTTTATGTCTTTGGTACACATGTATTAACCTGATGCAGTCATTGAATCGTGCTTTTGGTGTTCAAGTAAGGATGATACATAAACACATCCTATTCAAAGAAGTAAACAAAAGTGACATTCATCACACGATAGCTACGTGTTATGACAAATGTATCGTTGAAATATGAGAAAATGGAACTTTCCCATCACGAGAAAAATTCAGTTCACATAAACTGTATTTTGCGTGATACTTCCTGTACATACATGTAATCATAAAAGATGGGCTTGACCTAAATATGACAAACAAGGAAGTATTGGTGTATCCCCCCTTAGCACGTGATATTTCATTAATTCACATTTAAACGAAATCTTTCTTGAACTATGACAAACATCAGTATAACTTACAATACATCTTGTTCGTTATATTGAACAACTGCAATCAAAGTAAGTATTGAACTTATTTCACGAAGTCTGCCGTACGTGCATTAAGTATTTGTATAGCTATTTATTCATTAACTGTTTGAACACAGCTCATATGTAACATGACCACACTGTGTGCGCATATATCACGGATGTCAATTCGATAGAATTTACTATTAGAATATTCGTCTGATTCAGAATTCGAATAATGGACTACATACGATCATATTGATGTCAATTCCATATGGTAAGAAACTTTCAGACAGCAGTCATTTTACACCACTGGTACATGGTAACATTTTATCAATACGGAACAGATCGGTATTTAGATTGGCTCCTTTTTGCAATGTGATATCCGAAGTACTGAAATAGCATCAATTTCTAGACCTATTCGTCTGGCTTGATAACCCAGTTTCGAAACACAAAAAAAAGGAGAAAAAAAACATGTCACAAGAAATAATTACTGTCTTTATTACTACCTGCTAACGTTTTACAGAAAAGATCTCAACAAATGCTTTTTAAAGCGATGTCACAATACATCTTATAGGAAGTTGAGAAATGAACTTTCGCTTCTGAAAATATTGACTATTGCCTGCATTGGCGGTAAATAAAGACTCTAGATTATTTTAAACCAACGTCTTAAAGGAGAAGTTCCACTTACATTCTAAACATCGACAGATTATAATAGATTATCAGAGTGACATGTGCGTTCTCCATACGCTCAGACAAGAAAAGTCTGGCTTATCCAAACGTTAGTCTGCTGAGGCGACTAATGTGAACCTTTTCTTAAATTTTTGATACCTTGTATCTATTTTGTGCTATTGGATTCGGTTTAGACATTAAAATTTTGTTTCTGTTAAAGAGGTGGAGGACCTATAAAATGTATGCTATAATGATTTATCTAGAACCTCTTCTGTATCTGGTCTTGTTCAACTTGAATTGGGCGACTTCATTGGAACAGCCTGGATTATAGTTCTCTTTAATACTTAACTTCTGTCAATAGTTCTCTATGGATCAAGTTCCCTATACCCCGGAATGTCGTGGGAACATTAAACAGCTTTAATTTGGTCTCTCTAAAGGTCAAAACACGGAATATAGGAGGGTATAAATGTAAGGTCATGGCTCTACACAAGTCAATTCCAGCGAAATTAAGAGTATTTCCAAATTTGAAATGCCACTAGTTATTTATGATAAACAATATCTACGTCTATTGCCAGCTGTATTAGTACTTTTCTTCATAACAAAATTCCTCGCTACACATGTGGGTGTGCCAAAAAACCGGTAGTACGTCATCCTTTACTGATTATACGTAGGAGGCTAAGACTATAAATAACACAAACTTTCACCGATATCGTTATATTGAACAACTGCAATCAAAGTAAGTATTGAACTTATTTCACGAAGTCTGCCGTACGTGCATTAAGTATTTGTATAGCTATTTATTCATTAACTGTTTGAACACAGCTCATATGTAACATGACCACACTGTGTGCGCATATATCACGGATGTCAATTCGATAGAATTTACTATTAGAATATTCGTCTGATTCAGAATTCGAATAATGGACTACATACGATCATTTATTTGTTTACATCTAAGAACTGTGTCCTTTCAATATATACGATGCACACTTTAAAATGTCACACGTTCGTCAATCATTTTAGTAAATGAGCATACACTATCTGATTATAAGAGACGGATATAACTTCAATTAATTGCCATTATCACATAATTCTTCATCATTTAAGCATTATGACAAAGAGCCTTATTATTTACACATTGTGACAAACAGCTTATTTCTTTTATACATTGTCACAAACACTTTCATTATTACAAACAGCTCTATCAGTTACACATTGTCACAAACACCTACATCATTTACACATTATCACAAACAGCTCCATCAGTTACACATTATCACAAACAGCTCCATCAGTTACACATTATCACATAAAGCTCCATCAGTTACACATTATCACAAACAGCTCCATCAGTTACACATTGTCACAAACACCTACATCATTTACACATTATCACAAACACCTACATCATTTACACATTATCACAAACAGCTCCATCAGTTACACATTATCACAAACAGCTCCATCAGTTACACATTATCACAAACAGCTCCATCAGTTACACATTATCACAAACAGCTCCATCAGTTACACATTATCATATACAGCTTCATCAGTTACACATTATCTTAAATACCTTCATCATTTACACATTGTCACAAACACCTCTATCAGTTACACATTATCACATACAGTTACATCATTTACACATTGTCACATACAGCTCCATCAGTTACACATTATCACAAACACCTCTATCAGTTACACATTATCACAAACAGCTCCATCAGTTACACATTATCACATACAGCTACAGCATTTACACATTGTCACATACAGCTCCATCAGTTACACATTATCACAAACATCTCTATCAGTTACACATTATCACAAACAGCTACATCAGTTACACATTATTACAAACACCTTCATCAGTTACACATTATCATATACAGCTTCATCAGTTACACATTATCTTAAATACCTTCATCATTTACACATTATCACAAACAGCTCTATCATTTACACATTATCACAAACAGATCCATCAGTTACACATTGTCTTAAATACCTTCATCATTTACACATTATCACATACAGCTCCATCAGTTACACATTATCACAAACAGCTCCATCAGTTACACATTATCACATACAGCTCCATCAGTTACACATTATCACATACAGCTACATCAGTTACACAGTGTTAGAGGTACCATTTTGTTTGGCTGGCACGAAGTTTGAAACTTACTGGAGAGCGATAATTCCAGGCCTCCACCGATAAGTCTCTGGATGAATGGTACAGGTGAAACAGATGAATTTTAGCGATCTTTCGGACGTCAATATTTCTAACGACCTCTAAAATTGATGTTTGAATATCATTTTCAGGTGTGAATACCAAGTCGCCAAACAAACATTCGAGTATTCGTTATAATCCTCAATTTATATAATATCTGAACATATCTATATATTTTACTTATCTATAGGTTGATATACTGTAAGCAATTTTAGTTAATATTGAATAACAATATATTGCAGATTCACGAAGTTTAAAACAACAATGAAGTATTTGGTGATTGTTTTACCTAATCTGTGTTTGTTATGCTATAAGGATTCTTGCGAAACAAATAATATATCTTCATTTCAACATATACGTAGAAATTATATTGTGTAAGTAATCTGAACACTAAATAACAATGGTTTTGATACTTAATCAACAATTTTTTCAGATATAAGATTTACTTTTGTAATAAAATACCTTAGGACCATACTATAAGATGTAATATAATACAGGACCGTACTATAAGATGTTGTAAAATACTACAGGACCATACTATAAGATGTGATAAAATACTACAGGACCATATCATAAGATGTGATAAAATACTACAGGACCATACTATAACATGTGATAAAATACTACAGGACCATACCATAAGATGTAATAACATACTACAGGACCACACCAGAAGATGTGATAAAATACTATAGGACCATACCATAAAATGTGATAAAATACTACAGGACCACACCATAAGATGTAATAACATACGACAGGACCATACTATAACATGTGATAAAATACTACAGGACCATACCATAAGATGTAATAACATACTACAGGACCACACCAGAAGATGTGATAAAATACTATAGGACCATATCATAAGATGTAATAACATACTACAGGACCACACCAGAAGATGTGATAAAATACTATAGGACCATATCATAAGATGTAAGAACATACTACAGGACCACACCAGAAGATGTATTTATCTTCAATCTATTTTTTTTTTTTTTTTATTAAATTAATGTTAATACAATGTGTTAACAGGAAACATCAAATCAGACAATTTCTCATTTATTTTTTATTTCAGACTCACAATATGATTCGTTTTGCTATTCTCCTAACAGTCACGTGCGGAATGTTAACACCCAGGTCGAGTGGTTTTTCCGTCCTCAGACAGGAACCAGGTAATCGAAATGAAGTATACATAGATTCAATTTGATAGAATTTGGAAAAAATAAGTTTCCGTGCAGTCAAATCCTTAATAGTAACAAAAGATTAAGAGGAACTTATTTATATATGAAAACAAGATAAAATATTTTTTAAAAATGTAAAAAAAAAAAAAAAAGAAAAAGAAATTATGAGACACCCAAGTAAATAACAAACTTATTATTGCAAATACGGATCCTGGATGTGTTTCATCTGATTGCCAGCTCCTAAGCTTTTGTAAAGAATTCCTCATCATAATTTTTTCATTACCTTATCGTCCCCTGTTCTGAACCTTAGGTCAAAGAAATCAAAATTATAAATCCCAAGTTTGTTTATTATTCTACAGCCCGGGACGTCAATGATTTTTTTTTCATTTGAATTTAGATGATAAATTATATATATCACTGATTCACGTGGATTTGGTCTTGCCATTAGGTAAAACATTGATTTAACGAGGTGACTAAATATCTCGTGTTCTAAGAGTGAGTGAAAACACACTTGTTCGAAATTCAGTTTTAGTGTTCAACCGGGAAATCAATAATTTTTCTGTTCATTGACATTTACAATAAAGACTCTGGGATATTATTACAGTGTTCCGTCATCAAGAAACATTCCCGTGTTAGTAGTGTTGTCCCAGTCTGACGCCATGTTCTTAAGACGCCATCTGTAAGGAAGCATCGTAATTAATTAGTTTAATTTGGCTGGAATAAGGTCTTATAGGATTTGATGACATAATTCTGCATGACTTTGTAGTGGAATCACAGGTACTTGTGTACAAATAGAACTAAAGCAACTTTGTAGTGGAATCACAGGTACTTGTGGACAAATAGAACTAAAGCAACTTTGTAGCGGAATCACGGGTACTTGTGGACAAATAGAATTAAAGCAACTTTGTAGCGGAATCACGGGTACTTGTGTACAAATAGAATTAAAGCAACTTTGTAGCGGAATCACGGGTACTTGTGTACAAATAGAACTAAAGCAACTTTGTAGCGGAATCACGGGTACTTGTGTACAAATAGAACTAAAGCAACTTTGTAGCGGAATCACGGGTACTTGTGGACAAATAGAACTAAAGCAACTTTGTAGCGGAATCACAGGTACTTGTGGACAAATAGAATTAAAGCAACTTTGTAGCGGAATCACAGGTACTTGTGTACAAATAGAATTAAAGCAACAATGTAAAATGTTATTGTCATGCGTTTTCGAAGTAAAGTATCAGGGCGTTAGTAAATGGTTTATTCTCTTTTAACTTACCACGTCTAATGAAAATATTCATCATTAAGTCCACAAGTACATGCGAGTGGAATATGACCGTAATTTATGTGTTAAAGAAACTAAAAAGTTTTGAAGGTTTTGAAAGAACTTTTCTCATTTGTCAACACTAAATATGTTCTTATTGAAGACGTTAGATTTGATTAAGTTGATAGCAGGTATTTCAATAAAAAGTATTCCTCTAAGCTTTTTGACTCACCGTTAATACTTAATTACAGAATGTCGGCCACAACGACCAACAGTTGTGACAGATCAGTCCGGTCAGCCATTGATCACATGCTCTAACAACAGCACGGTCGCTACGCTTTCTTGTCGTGTAGACTTCCATTGTCACGAACACTTATTGATAGACCTTGTATGGGTGGGCTTCTTTGCTCAAACCACCAATCACCAGGCGAACGATGAGAAGGAAACGGAAAATCGGACAACGGAAATTAATTACCAAGGTTATGCACTGGAGACGGAACCAAGATACAGGTCGACGACACGCAGAATAGAAGGGTTGGTCTCAAACACACTGTATTATTATGGCCTAATGTTTGATTGTTAAATCAAATGCACATATTACCTTAGCAACATCTGTACAAACGACTTACCTCGAAAAATACCCATAGAGTTTTCATTTTAGTTTTAGAATGGCAGCCTTTATAATGGTGGTACATATACAATACACCAGAAATCATTAAAACTCGAATCCAAATACAACGGCAACGATGTAAGACAAAAACACTTATGGAGACCAACAAATACTGACACGACAGAACCTAGTCACAATATTCTACCATGGTGTTATTCATCAAATCCCTGAACGTACACCTTGGTCATTCTTAGACAAGCAAAACAAGTCTGGATCAAACAACCATAAAACTGGATCATTATAGAGAGTTTACATGTCCATGTGCTAGTCTTAAAATATCACCAACTCAGCAATAGTGTTGTTCCATTGTTTAGCATAAAGGGGTAAGATACCTGAGCGAAAAAACTACTAGAGCAGCGATTCACAAGATGATGTTTATTTCAGCGTGTATGATCGCTGTTGCCATATTATAAGTAATTTATTAGACTGAAGATCTAACTCTGTATACGATTTTCTTTAGCGTTTTATGTTGTATATATGTGCCATGATACCTTACTTAAAAAATGTTTAGCCAGTGTCAACCATAATATCATCTTGGCGAATATATCCTTTCGCACCATACACCTCCTTGTCTGTTTTTCTTATTATTTATATTTTGTTTTGCTGTCCTATATTCCTTTTATTAAATACTGCATTCTGTTTACAGCGAAGGCCATGTACTAGAGGCGTTGTTGGAGATCACTTCAGTGACAGCGGAGGATTACAACAGAAGGTTTAAGTGTGTGGTAGTCACAGAATACAACTATGAAGCAATGGGGAAAACGCCACCTGATATTCAAAGCCATCTCTGTTCCAGTACCCATCTGACACCAAATTATCAATATTTATCAGGTAATATTTGTCTTTCATGTTAACCTGAACATGGGTTTCTACGAGCTTGTTTAATAATTTTTGCCTTTCACAAACTGCATTTTTTACACATGTAGAATGCTTATAATGATATTAACGTTGATTATGGATGCATTTGGTAAAAGCAGCATAAAATATCCACACATCACTTCAGGAGGTTTATAACACGCTTCAATGGGTCGACAGGTTTTTTTATAATGTGTTAGATTTTCATATGATATAAATAATCAAATGTACAATCTCACATATTATGGAACTAAATGTGTAGTATTTAAACTTATAACTCATAATCGATAAAATAAATAAAAATTAGGATGCATTTTCATTAGAGGAAAATTGTGCAAAAAAGTGGTGGAAATTCTTCTATCAAATTGAAAGCGATATAAACGTTTTGTTTGTTTTTACAATATAAATTTGTTAGGATTACTCAAACAAACCAGTAGAATCGTTTTACTTAGTAAAGTATATTCTCAATAAGTCCAACGAAGTCACAATAATGAAATTCAAAGTTTCTGCGTAGTATCGTTTTTTCCAAACTCAGAAGGGATTTGTGTAATAATATCTGCAAAATTATGTCTTTTTTAAAGTTGATTCTTGATATAACGGCGCTTATATTATTGATTTCTTCATTTACCGCCATCACAATGGTCTTTTGTTTGAAACACTATCAAATGGAAATAGTAAAGCAGAACTCATTTACACATGTTTTCTTGTATTCCACAGCCAAAAACTCAGCAGGAACTCTAGCCAGTATTGGAAGTTTGTTCCTTATGGTCCTGTGGAGCATCGAGTTAAAATACGTCTGAGATATGTCAAATACCTTGTCAAATTATTTGTTGTATAAACATGTTGTTTTAACAATAATGGGGTGACGGATTATGTTTTGTTTATCACATGATCGCTGAGTTATTAAGAGGATGTGGCAGTTTTTCATTAAACTGTTATGTGGCATGTTGTAATATTAGAAGATAGATATGAAAACTGTAAAGTCCTGTCGAATCATAGGATATGTGGCTGATTTTAAGGTTTTTTCGCTGACATATTGATTTTTACAACAAAATTTCTATATATATATATATATATATTTATTTCTTAATGTATTTTTACACTTTTAATTCATGTGCAATCAATGTTTACAATATTACCTGTTAACTGAGTATTTGATGTTATATACAAAAGAACAAAATATTACCTTAGTGTATCATCTTAATTCAAAATAAAAATGTAAAAATGATGGAGTAATCTTTTTTACTACTTATAAAACCTTGGCCAGTCCTTTGACTACTTATATAACTTGTGAGGTAACCTTGGCCAGTCCTTTGACTACTTATATAACTTGTGAGGTAACCTTGGTCAGTCCTTTGACTACTTACATAACTTGTGAGGTAACCTTGGCCAGTCCTTTGACTATTTACATAACTTGTGAGGTAACCTTGGCCAGTCCTTTGACTACTTATATAACTTGTGAGGTAACCTTGGCCAGTCCTTTGACTATTTACATAACTTGTGAGGTAACCTTGGCCAGTCCTTTGACTACTTATATAACTTGTGAGGTAACCTTGGTCAGTCCTTTGACTACTTACATAACTTGTGGGGTAACCTTGGCCAGTCCTTTGACTACTTATGTAACTTGTGACGTAACCTTGGCCAGTCCTTTGACTACTTATATAACTTGTGGGGTAACCTTGGCCAGTCCTTTGACTATTTACATAACTTGTGACGTAACCTTGGCCAGTCCTTTGACTACTTATGTAACTTGTGACGTAACCTTGGCCAGTCCTTTGACTACTTATATAACTTGTGGGGTAACCTTGGCCAGTCCTTTGACTACTTACATAACTTGTGAGGTAACCTTGGCCAGTCCTTTGACTACTTATATAACTTGTGACGTAACCTTGGCCAGTCCTTTGACTACTTATATAACTTGTGGGGTAACCTTGGCCAGTCCTTTGACTACTTACATAACTTGTGAGGTAACCTTGGCCAGTCCTTTGACTACTTATATAACTTGTGAGGTAACCTTGGTCAGTCCTTTGACTACTTACATAACTTGTGGGGTAACCTTGGCCAGTCCTTTGACTACTTATGTAACTTGTGACGTAACCTTGGCCAGTCCTTTGACTACTTATATAACTTGTGGGGTAACCTTGGCCAGTCCTTTGACTACTTACATAACTTGTGACGTAACCTTGGCCAGTCCTTTGACTACTTATGTAACTTGTGACGTAACCTTGGCCAGTCCTTTGACTACTTATATAACTTGTGGGGTAACCTTGGCCAGTCCTTTGACTACTTACATAACTTGTGAGGTAACCTTGGCCAGTCCTTTGACTACTTATATAACTTGTGACGTAACCTTGGCCAGTCCTTTGACTACTTATATAACTTGTGGGGTAACCTTGGCCAGTCCTTTGACTACTTACATAACTTGTGAGGTAACCTTGGCCAGTCCTTTGACTACTTATATAACTTGTGAGGTAACCTTGGTCAATCCTGTGACTACTTACGTAACTTGTGAGGTAACCTTGGTCAGTCCTGTGACTACTTACGTAACTTGTGAGGTAACCTTGGTCAGTCCTTTGACTACTTATTTAAATTGTGAGGTAACCTTGTCCAGTCCTTTGACTACTTACATAACTTGTGAGGTGACCTTGGCCAGTCCTTTGACTACTTATTTAAATTGTGAGGTAACCTTGGCCAGTCCTTTGACTACTTATGTAACTTGTGACGTAACCTTGGCCAGTCCTTTGACTACTTATATAACTTGTGAGGTAACCTTGGTCAGTCCTGTGACTACTTATATAACTTGTGAGGTATCCTTGGTCAGTCCTTTGACTACTTATATAACTTGTGAGGTAACCTTGGTCAGTCCTGTGACTACTTATATAACTTGTGAGGTAACCTTGGCCAGTCCTTTGACTACTTATATAACTTGTGAGGTAACCTTGGTCAGTCCTTTGACTACTTATGTAACTTGTGAGGTAACCTTGGCCAGTCCTGTGACTATTTACATAACTTGTGAGGTAACCTTGGCCAGTCCTTTGACTACTTATATAACTTGTGAGGTAACCTTGGCCAGTCTTTTGACTATTTACATAACTTGTGAGGTAACCTTGGCCAGTCCTTTGACTACTTATATAACTTGTGAGGTAACCTTGGTCAGTCCTGTGACTATTTACATAACTTGTGAGGTAACCTTGATCAGTCCTGTGACTACTTATATAACTTGTGAGGTAACCTTGGCCAGTCCTTTGACTACTTATATAACTTGTGAGGTAACCTTGGTCAGTCCTGTGACTATTTACGTAACTTGTGAGGTAACCTTGGCCAGTCCTTTGACTACTTATGTAACTTGTGAGGTAACCTTGGTCAGTCCTTTGACTACTTACATAACTTGTGAGGTAACCTTGGCCAGTCCTGTGACTATTTACATAACTTGTGAGGTAACCTTGGCCAGTCCTTTGACTACTTATGTAACTTGTGAGGTAACCTTGGCCAGTCCTTTGACTACTTACATAACTTGTGGGGTAACCTTGGCCAGTCCTTTGACTATTTACATAACTTGTGAGGTAACCTTGGTCAGTCCTTTGACTACTTACATAACTTGTGAGGTAACCTTGGCCAGTCCTTTGACTACTTATATAACTTGTGAGGTAACCTTGGTCAGTCCTTTGACTACTTATGTAACTTGTGAGGTAACCTTGGCCAGTCCTTTGACTACTTATATAACTTGTGAGGTAACCTTGGTCAGTCCTTTGACTATTTACATAACTTGTGAGGTAACCTTGGTCAGTCCTTTGACTACTTACATAACTTGTGAGGTAACCTTGGCCAGTCCTTTGACTATTTACATAACTTGTGAGGTAACCTTGGCCAGTCCTTTGACTACTTATATAACTTGTGAGGTAACCTTGGTCAGTCCTGTGACTATTTACATAACTTGTGAGGTAACCTTGGTCAGTCCTTTGACTACTTATATAACTTGTGAGGTAACCTTGGTCAGTCCTGTGACTACTTATATAACTTGTGAGGTAACCTTGGCCAGTCCTTTGACTACTTATATAACTTGTGAGGTAACCTTGGCCAGTCTTTGACTACTTACATAACTTGTGAGGTAACCTTGGTCAGTCCTGTGACTATTTACATAACTTGTGAGGTAACCTTGGCCAGTCCTGTGACTACTTATATAACTTGTGAGGTAACCTTGGTCAGTCCTTTGACTACTTATATAACTTGTGAGGTAACCGTGGTCAGTCCTTTGACTACTTATATAACTTGTGAGGTAACCTTGGTCAGTCCTGTGACTACTTATGTAACTTGTGAGGTAACCTTGGCCAGTCCTTTGACTACTTATATAAATTATGGGGAACCATTTGCCGACCCTTTGACTATTTTTATGAGTTCCTGGGTAGCCTTGGTCGGCAATTTGACTACTTATTTGAGTTGTGGGATGATCAAAATCATCTTATTTATACAATGATATACTTTTTTAATGATGTACACTATTGATATGTGCAGATCACGCGCTGTCAGTTTGTTAATAGGCCAACCTTTCATACAGATATAACGTCGCTTCTCTTAGATATTGTATGTACAGGTAAGTCACTTACTGAAAAAGTAACTGATGGGAAGTGTTCATACTAACTACTAATATATCATTGTATCTATGATGGTATTAGGGGGGGGGCTACAATTCTTACTGACAAAAACAATGCTGATAAGCATGACATTATAAATGAATTAATCCTGATGTCGCTACAGACTATTCCTACGTGTACTTTTACAGATGATTTTCAGATTTAATTATCCGTCCTGAAAGTGTGATAAAATGCACAATCTAAAGTTGTATCCTTTAACTAAAATACGTCATATTTTATTTCCATTTCTTGCCATCATTAGACGGTCCTCCTTCCGTTTCTCGGATATTTGGTGTTTTCGCCGAGGTGCTCGAGAAGTGGACCGATAGGCTTGACCAGGAACAGGTCTGCTGTCACCATGTTGCTGTCGTAGCCTGGTAAGGTAGATGTTTTCGCAACCTCTTTGCTCATCCTGCTGCATGACTAAGGGCAATGATGCCTACTTGTCTGTCGTCACTTGGTGCCTAGCACTGAGTCTGGTGACCACACCACGTGTCTTCCGTCTCCTATATGTTCCGGTATGCTTCTTGCTAATGTCACAGGGGCCTGCAGCAATGCTTCTCGGGCAGAAGGTCTTGTGTAGTATATATATATATGTAGCAGCAAATAGTTAAAACGTAACGCCTATCAAAACACACAGAAAGAAAGATCGGAAATTTAACCGAAGAGTAATCTAGTCAAAATAATAACTGAAAAAACAGAGTGCGAAATCCTCATCATGTTTCTGTAGTGCAGAAAACACGTGGCTTAAAGGGAAGGGAAAGAACAACGTAAACTTCCAGGTCAAAATGGATTCTTTCTAAGTTCGAAGGAAACTTTTGGAAAAGCAATGTGTATTTTAGCTATCGTTGTTCTTTTCTACATTTATTCCTTTCTTTCGTCCTTTGTTTATTCGAAAAAAAAAAAAAACACCATTAACTATCTTCCCATTACCTATGTCATACTTGTGTCCAGTATTGAGATACCAGAAAATATATGACTGTATAATATTTGTGCGTTATAAAACTACAGCTCGAGTGCAATATATAGATGCTCTTTTCAGTGAAAATACAGACACAAACAATTTAATACACTATATATTATTATATATAATTACTTAGAAAAGCGAATCACTAATGTACATGTTAAGAATGTGTAGTAGGGTGCTATTTTGTAAATTGGCTTTGTAAGGTATTTTTTTAATATAAGTGAGCAAGTTGCGGTCCCGTGTTGTCTGACGTAATTGTAGGTCTTATTTTAAAATGTATTGTAAACCGGCTCTGTGATATGTCAAAGGGCAAATCTATTTTTATCGGACTGCCCAGTGGTCATCACGCAAGGCGCGCGGTAAATTCACACTCCCGTGGACTTTGAATGATGACGGTTGGGTTTTATTGAGAGAGGCCCTTTGTCGTCCTTTGTTGTTTGGAAATTATAATCCGCTGTTTCGTTCTGTGGCCAGCTAAACCGTCATCCGCGGGTTGTGTCGCTTAAGCCCTCTTCCCTTTCTGATTTCTGATATAAAAAGTGGATTTTTATGTATATTGATATACACATAATAAATATTTTGTGATATTATACGTCCTTATAGTAAGAAAAAGAGGGGGAAATATATACATCAGAAATTCAATATATCACTAATTCCTGATATCGTAAATGAATTTTAATGCATTTTATGATGTTTTAAACCATATCAACCTTACATAAGTAATTTGGCTTTTTATACCAGACAAAATGCACAGCGGCGCCTCAACATACAACAGATTACTTGTAGTTGTTGTTGGTCACAGTACGAGTTACTGCCCGTATATTGAAGCGTTTGTGTGATATAGAAGCGCACCTGTCAAGATAAATTATCGATGTATTTATCAAAACAACGTTCAATATTTACTTTAGTTTGTCTTTTTTGATCAAATACTTCTTATGATTTTTATTTTGATATTCTATTGTTTTCTCAACGTGTCATTAATAAGTTCATTGGGTCGAGTTTACTGATTTCCTATTGTTGTTATGGAGATACGGCTTCGTCACGTGACCAGCAACCTCGAGACTCTATTGATAAAACTACTGCTATTGTAGTGCTTGTAGTTTATGGACATTATAGACGTTCAGGATGCATAGAAGTTATCAATCCATCCTTCCTACCCACAATAAATTTCTTCAAAAGAGGTGGGATGATACGTACTACAATGAACACCGAAGAAAGGTGAGTTTATGGACCAGTTTAAGTGATCTCTTGAGAGTTTACAATCGGGCTAGTGAGAGTCCTGTTGGGTGTAGATTTAATCTGTCGGGCTAATCTTAAGGTGATCGATATCTAACTACTGTAAAAAAAACTGATTTATGTACAGAGTGGATTATTAAGCTACCCGCACACTTTATTCACATAGATCATTTTGTGTCGAAAACTTATAGTAATTAAAGAATTGTTACTTTAAGGATTTGTCAAGTATCATGCACAATAATTGGCATGTAAACAGATCTGGAGATTTAAGTGCTTGTGGTTGATATAATTCTTGTGTTTGTATTTCTGTTGCTAGAGCATTATAAATTTACCAGTAAATGCTGTTTGTTATATCAAACTGTACTAAAGGACACAAATATGTGTGATTTTATAAGAATATTACATATATTCATATGATATCGAAATTTAATTTATGAAGTTTAATACCAGTAAAGTTTTTCGTGTTCACACGAATTCTACAATCGATCATTATAATTGATATTGACTTTAACTGTCATTATAAACACTGGAACATATACACTTACATTAACACTTCAATTCCAATCTGTTTAAGTAGGAAACTAATTACAATTCCAGTGGTGATTTTATCATATGCATGTATAGATATGGGGTACTTCAAATAACAAAAACTCTGGAAAGCTAATGTGTGATGCCTGATCTTTAACTGATTTTCTTTTTTTTTTTTATTGGTTAGTTATTTTTCCAATATTAGATGCTAATTAAAAATTGACCTGTGAGATGTTATCAGTATAGCATGACAAGTGTGTTATCATTCATGTCAGATAGAATAATATATCATTCTGAAATAATTATCAGCCCTCGCCATGGCAACATTTCTTTCATCTTTTATGATAACTATGGTGTATATTTTCATGAGCAGGTGCAGAACAACCAACAGCTTTTGTTTGTTTTCTAATTATTGCATGAATTCACTCTGTCAATCGATATAACTAAATCATTTGACATGACATAATTTTGAATATGATACACATGTATATCCTACACGTATGTTGAAAACAGACTGAAATAAATAATTTAGTATTTCACAAGAGCATTTATCGGAAATACATGATATAACATCACAGGTGTGTAGCAAACAAAACATCACTTCAGATATTGATTTATTACCACTTTTGTACTGTGTGCAACATGAAAACCAATGTATTACAGAAATACAAAAAAATCAAATATGTGTCCAATCATTTAATTAACACATATAATCCACAATTCTCAAAGAAGAAAGAAAATGCCTGCAGCATCCCACTGGATGTCTTTAGAGCCAACATATTGTGGGACACCTCATACAGATCATTGGTGGTTTCTCTTATGCCTTCTGTTAGAAGAGCCCAAGAATAGGGTCTGCTGTATTCCATTACATGTTTGTCCCCTCCCCACACACCCTCACCCCTTCCCCCAAGAAGAATTGAAGGTTTCTCTCCATGCCTAGGAGACCATGAAGAGACCCCTATCACAACAAACACTCTGAATATTTTTCTTTCGTTCCTGTCTTGATATTTCTTTCTATGCCTTTTCTACTCATGGTGTCCATCTTGACACCAGACTTCATATAACCCAGGCGGTTGGTGTCCCTCTTGACACCAGACTTCATATAACCCAGGCGGTTGGTGTCCCTCTTGACACCAGACTTCATATAACCCAGGCGGTTGGTGTCCATCTTGACACCAGACTTCATATAACCCAGGCGGTTGGTGTCCATCTTGACACCAGACTTCATATAACCCAGGCGGTTGGTGTCCATCTTGACACCAGACTTCATATAACCCAGGCGGTTGGTGTCCATCTTGACACCAGACTTCATATAACCCAGGCGGTTGGTGTCCATCTTGACACCAGACTTCATATAACCCAGGCGGTTGGTGTCCCTCTTGACACCAGACTTCATATAACCCAGGCGGTTGGTGTCCCTCTTGACACCAGACTTCATATAACCCAGGCGGTTGGTGTCCCTCTTGACACCAGACTTCATATAACCCAGGCGGTTGGTGTCCCTCTTGACACCAGACTTCATATAACCCAGGCGGTTGGTGTCCCTCTTGACACCAGACTTCATATAACCCAGGCGGTTGGTGTCCCTCTTGACACCAGACTTCATATAACCCAGGCGGTTGGTGTCCATCTTGACACCAGACTTCCTATGACTCTGACTGTTGTTAGGATGTCAAATCCTGAAGAAACATATGCCTGGTATTAGTTGTACTGTGGTTTACAGTCATTTTCAACTGAAATAAAGACTATATCAAGGAACTCTTAGAAAAACAATGGGTTTAAGATATATAGATGTTAATACATGTGAGCAATTGTGTATATGTCTCTATGTGCAATTTGAACCCAAATAAACAAGGATTACATTCTCCTTTTTTGTGATTTTCAGGTCAGAACAGCACATTCCATGGTGGACACAAGAGCTCCACCCACATACATGCATCTCCACTTGAAATTGAAGAAATTACAGGTATTTATTGTTGTTCCATTGTTTCTTACGACATCTAATGTAATTGTTCTCTGACAATCAATTGATATACAAATATTTTCATTGATAGAACCATTTTTAGTCTTATAACAGGAAAATATCAAATTGAAGTTACCAAAGATGAGAAAGAAAAAGCTTAGAAATTAGTCAAACAGGGAAACAGTATAATTAATTAGTCTATGAACTCAGACACCACAGTAGGAAATCACAGCATGACAACTCTGTTCACATGTCTAGCATTATACATCAAATGGGGCTTTTTCAAGGGAAAACATGCAGAAGATAGTCAGATAGTTGCAAACATGGGAGAGATACTCATACCGAAGACTTTAAATGTGTACCTCTCATTAAAAAGATTTCCTTTTTTTTTAATTTCTTAAATGTATCATGAGGAATTGAGAAAACAGATATGTGTAGGTTTGTACAATATTCAAGAAAATTCCTGGTTACAAAATAAAATTTTATCAAATCTTACATGTTTGAGGACTGCATAAATCTAAGAATATGACAGAGAAGCTGACAAATAAGTTTGCAGTTTAAGAAAGAAGAAAATTAACCACAAACGGATGGTTGAGTTATGTTGTTTCCAAAACAGCATATTTTACCTCCAACCTTTTACCAGGAAACATTTCTCATCTCTAAATAGTTTTCTTCTTAAGTGCTATGTTTCCGTTTGAAATCAAAATAAGTCATTATAAGGTTTATGGTATGTGGTAAATGTTTTTAATCAGTTCTTGTTTTAACTTGCAATATACATATCTATTCTAGTTTCTTTTACAACGCACAAGGGAATTGACATACTCTCTATCTTTTATGAGTTTATTATGGAATTATCAATATAAATTGCTCATTAAAGGCACAGAATCTATGTGGGATTTGGAACATACCACTTAAAAAGGAAATGACAATTAACGGCTAGTAAATTGTATGTTGTGTACCAGATTGGTTATTGATTAGAAAAAAACTTTTAATTGAAATAACCAACTCTTCCATCGACCTGACTCTGTGGAAGTAATGCTGCCAAACATCAATTTTTCATTAATGGAAAATTCATGTCATTTGTTCAGGTGTTTTTGCCACATTTTACGATTGCTTTCATCATGAAAGTGATACATTTCATCACCTTGCCAAACAAAAAGGAAAAAAAAATATTTTGACTTAAAAAAATCAGATATAGTCACATACTGAAAATGAGTACTTCAGTATTGTAATTCTGCACTGAGAATCATAAAATCAGCATTCTTTGTAACTGTTTTAGAATTTCTTACTAATGCTGACTTCAACAACAGTAAATTATTTATCCCACCAAACAGTGTTGTCAGGGACAGATTTAGTGAAAGAAACATTCACACAAACCTCATTTTGTTTCAACTTGAGAAAGAGTAATTACCCATACAATGAAGGTCATTATTATTGCCCAACCTGTAAAATTTAAGACTTGTGGAGGGTGAAGTTTAGTCAATAGACCAATTGTATGCATATTTCTTACCATGGAACCACACAACAACTCCACCTTTCACCAACACACCCAGACAAGTACCCTACATTTATAAAATAATACAGTATTGAAAAGTCTGTGTATATATCTTAAAAGCATGGTCAACTTCAAATATTTATGAAATTGTTGAAAATCTAAAACAAAATTTCTCCAACTGTTTGTTTCTGAATGTTTGCACATTGTATTTAAATTGACTATCATGTAATATCTGTTTATTTATTTACAAAAAGATATTTGTTTTGAAAAAGTGTTTTATATCCTGATCAAATCATGCATGGAATACATATACTGGTAAATTTATTGAAAAAATCCTGTGCATTAGAAAAGAAATTACAGAAATTTCCTAATATTACTTAACTATATGTTTGGTAAGAAATAAACTGACATTCAAGCAGTGCTGAAATAATTATCTAAATAAAGAGAGGTAATTGACTGACTCTATTTGAATTAATTTGAATTTCTTGACAGATATTTTTTAGGAGTTAAATGTCTATATTTATCAGCAAAGCTTACTAGGCTTCACAAGACATATTCTGTAGGTTTAAATGCCTGATCCCCCACAAAGGGTCTGTAAGTGTCGTTTACACAATTCACTTACAATAAGTCACAGTTAGAGTTTACAATAAACCTAAGTGATATGAAATTTAAATCCTCGTGACTAGAAATATTACTGGCTTATCACTGGATCCCTGTATATTTATATGAGTCGTAATGTGATATAATTTGAAAATAAGCTTTGATGATTCCTCTGTTTGTATCCCTGTTGTCAATTTAGTGCAACCAGGTAGAAATAAATTAAAATGTAACCCACTGGAGCTGGAATTTACTACCTTGCTATAGCTACAAAATGTGAATTGTATGCTTTATGTCTAAACAAAATCATGTAATTTAAAAAAAAAAAAAAATTATCAATCTTGTTCCACATTCATTAAATAGATTATTACATATAAATGATGCCGAAGCAATTTAACTTTACATTCCACAACCCTGTAATATTGATTTAACCAAAGTAAATTGCTTTTCAATGGTAAATAGGTCCACCTGCTTATATAACAATAGAAGATACCAGAAACCGCTTTAAAAATCCATTTACCTTAAGCTAGCTTAAGTTTAAACATATACATAGCTTTATATTGTAAATTCCTCTATTTGTACAGACAATCTATCATGTTAAACTGAATTATTGTTCATATTACACTATGGTTTCAAAACATAAACCTCATTAAACATTCTCAGAATTTTCCCAAACTTATCAAAGGTCAAAAGTCTTTAAAAAGAAACTTGAGATTTTTAATTATACATATGGTACGTCATACTTGAAGTTAAAAAAAGTTCAAAGTCCTAGAGGTTAAAGGTAACATTGAAACAAACATGTCCAGTCATAGTTTGTACAAAGGAGTAGCTTATTTTCAGTTTAGTATTCATCTATAAAAAATAATACATTCAGACCTGTCATCTGCACAGTGTCAATACTGATGATGATAGAGACTTGGAAACAGTGATTGTTTGAATCCTGTAGAATTAAAAATTAATGTTGCTACAACTATAACTGGTGTTATATAGACACATAATCAAGTTCTACCCTAAAACTGTGTTTACTGGTGGTATATAGACATGTAATCAAGTTCTACCCTAAAACTGTGTTTACTGGTGGTATATAGACATGTAAACAAGTTCTATCCTAAAGCTGTGTTTACTGGTGGTATATAGACATGTAACCAATTTCTATCCTCAAACTGTGTTTACTGGTGGTATATAGACATGTAATCAAGTTCTACCCTAAAACTGTGTTTACTGGTGGTATATAGACATGTAATCAAGTTCTATCCTAAAGCTGTGTTTACTGGTGGTATATAGACATGTAACCAATTTCTATCCTCAAACTGTGTTTACTGGTGGTATATAGACATGTAATCAAGTTCTACCCTAAAACTGTGTTTACTGGTGGTATATAGACATGTAATCAAGTTCTACCCTAAAACTGTGTTTACTGGTGGTACATGTACATAGGGGCAGTAAATATATCTACACATGCAAAGTTCACCATATTAAACCACATGAATTCCCACAACAAATATATAATCAACATGATAATTCCAATGTTACTAGAGTTTTTAATTCTGTCAGTGAAGATAAGTTCAGTAAAATGATATTTGATCTGCATCGTCATTGGTTAAAGTTCCACAATTTTATTTGTAGTTAGAGGAGGAGAGACTAGCAACCATCGAAAGGGATAACAGGATCTTACTAGAAAAGATGTCCTATATAATGAGGACGAAAGGACGGGTAGAAAATAGGAATAATTACGAATATAAAAGGTGAGTATAGTATAGTAGAGTATAGCAATGACTGTTTCAATGATTACAGGATTTTACTACCATCATACATCTGTATAGAGCTATAAATCCATAGTCTTTAAATACCACGATAAAGGGAGCTAACTCATCATGTAAACTGTAATTTTGATGATTTTGTGACTTTTCAGTTTAAATCGTGAGAAACGTCAGCGTGAACTTTTACGTGTGACAAAAGAGAACCAGAGTATTCTCACACGAATCACGAGTCGAGAACCAGAATACAGCGTGCAGCGATGGAACACGCAGTGGGAAGATAACCAGAAGTTTATGGATAACATCGCTCAGTTCCCCAAGGATTGGTGGACAGCACAGCAACAGGTGTGTACTTTAATGTTGAAGCTGTCACACAAAAACAACATACCGAGGCAAAATCTTGATCAGAATTTTTCCCCATCTTTTCTCTGTGCCCTACAGATGTCCTTCTTTCTCTGACCATTGTATGTCTAAGTTTATTAAAAATATACTAAAGGAAAAAATCTTATTTTAAAAAATCCTGCAAAAAAAAACTAAAAATAAAATTCAGCAGTCACATCAGCTAATAAATGTAAAGAATTCTTATTTTGTTTTTCTTTGTAGGAAAATGGGAGAAAAAGAACAGGCAAGTCGAAAGAAAAATCAACAGTATCAAAGAGGGCAGCCTCATCTCAGTCGAAATCTGAGGTGAGGAAGTCACCAGAACCTAAAGTTCAAAAGAAGGAGGAGGTCAAAGAGGAGGAAGAGGGAACAAAGAAAGAGGTTCAACAAGAGGAGGAATAGGCCAAATCATCTCATACTTATGATAGTCACTTTAAGGTGAGACCAAGCAGGGATGAGCATCCAATGGAGACCCTACTTGTGTAATATACGAGTAGTAGAGAGAAAGCATTATTTATTAATTAAACAATATTTTTGTTTAATTAATAAGTTTTTAAAGATTGAAACTTTTTCCAGATTAGGACCAACCTGGATATTCATTGAAAAGACAGCATGTCCTGTTTTGGCGGTCTCAGTCCATTTAACTGCCATCTGTATTCCTCAGTGATCGTTATATTCCTGGTTCTCATTGAAACATAATCAGGACTGTTATGTTACATACTGCTAGATCAGTATGTGTGTGAGGTTGTTCCGAATGTGTGCATATAGAGTGCAACGTATGCATGATGATTGTTCACTTTTAGCACATTTAGTTTGCTGATTCACCTCTATCAGAAATTCGGAAACCGAAATTTAGGAATGTATTTATGTTCTGATATTTGTTTTCCTCTGCCTAATAACCAGTGTTGATATAGAATTCTGACACTGAATTAGTTTTAAAACTTCTAAAATATCAGGCCATTCCTCAAATTTCCAACAATTTTTTTAACTAAATTTTGTTTCTACGATATACTTCATGTGTATTTTATTTTTAACTTCTACCTATCTACTTCAGATGTATTTAAAAATCATAAATACTAACACTTATGAATCATGGATGCACATTGAAAATGCAAGTGATAGTATTTACAAAATAGTATTGTTCTCCAAATACCTCAAGTGATGTCAACACTACTGTGTATATTATACAAGATTGACCATGCTGAATTCCATGGTATGTGTATTTTGATTTTGATCATTTAAATACAACTTGAAACGTTCAAGGCCTGAGTGAAAAAAAAAAGTTAAATCTTATAAAACTTCTGAAATATTGATAAAAATATACTAAACATGAATAACAATGATAGGACATATTGATCTGATCAAATAATTACGGTACAAAAATTGAATTTTAACAACAACACATGTTTTTCACATCTAATTAGTCGCCATGGTAATTACTGAATCACACTTGCGATTATCAGACTTGATATATAATTAGAAAAGTCAATATCTTTAATTTGGTTGTTACGTTGTTAGAGAATTAGACGTTTGTTTTTGTTTGAATGTATTTCACGTGAAAGTATTAATTTTAGTTTGTGAATTTTAAAATGAAATTTTGAGTATTTTTGATATTTTGACAATTTTGAAAATGTTTCATATGTATACTGTTGTCCCCATTGTGATAAATGAATATTGTTCAGCAATAACAATGTTAACATGTGGTCAGTCTGCATGTGTACCGGTCAAGTTAAATAGTGATATAACAGAGTATTGGCACAGATCAAGTCTTCAAATCATGGTGATGAAGATGTTTACTTCCTTTTTATAATGGAAAGGTTTGATGAACAGGTGACATTTATATATAGTGTTAAACATCAAGTAATTTGCAAATCTGAATTACAGTCAATAAACATGTACACAATGATGAATTTGTCTATACTCATAAGAAAGTTTAGAATATTGACTTGATCTAAAAATATAATTTTCTTTAACAGCTATGTAAGTAATATATAACTTTAACATTTGAAATCATACAGAATGGACGTGTACTGTCTGTAAATTTCCTATATATATTAACATTCTATGAAATCTTAAAATCAACTTTCAGAAATTGATTTTTTATTTCTATAACAACATAATAATTAAAGCTAACAAATTATAATAGTTTATACATGTAAGTTGAAAGATGTGAGCTATCAGAAACTTGTGATTTACAATATATACAATTATTTATGCTCACAGGAAGAGGGTATCTTTCTGCATAATACTGCAGGCAACCATAAAAGGGAGACAAGCAGTCTAATACTGTGATATTCTGAACTATAAATCTTGAGTTTATTGTAAAGTTTTTTTTTACTTTTTTATTGCTGTTATACTTTTCTATGATAATAAGAAGAAAACATAAAAATGTTTGATACAGTTCAGTGCTCAGCACATTGATCTTTACTGAGCCACAGGCTGATTATTAAAGAAATTAATCTAGTTCACCACAACCAAACACCATTGGGGTGTTATGAATTTCCCAATATCTTTACTAAATAAACTTAATTTTTATTTAACAAATATTTCATAATAAACTTCTAACTAATTTAGTGAATAAGCTAGATGTGTGTATTTTGTTTGCATTTGGTTTATAACAAAAAAGGACTTCTGTATTTATACAGAAGCAATTAATTTGCTTCAAACATTAATGTATATATCAATATATAGAGTCTGAGTATCAATGGTTATGATGCTCATCATATATGTCCATTTCAATATTTATCACATAATTGGCCTGTTATACACTCATGTTGCATATATGTCACTATTGTAATATACCCTGCAGCGTTTTTCATTGGCTGCAAAATCAATTGTGATATCCTAATGTGGACAGTGATATTAGGATCTTGAGTTGAAAGCAGCTGTCTCCGTTTGATTTTGTCCTTTGTACTTTGAAACCTGTCAAAATATAACTTCACTTAGTTATATGTGATAAAAAGTATTTCAAATTCCTGTTCATTCCATATGTGATTTTATGAGACTTGTCTTAAAGTTTAAAAAAAACAATTCATATTGTTGTGGACATTGGCATGCAAAAATTAAACTTTAAGACATGTTTTATAAATCTTGTATGAAATGAAAATTCTTTCAGGATCCTCTATGTGTAATATATACTACATAGTGGCAGATACAGTCTTGATAAGCCTGTTGTTAATCAGATTTTCATGTGTAGAAGTTGACAAAATTTTGAAGAATCAAAAGATTGGAGAACCTTCCTAAATACTGAAAAATATCAATCACCACAGCAGAGCAAGTTTATTTTGATTTATAAACGAAAAAGAAACAGTAATGGATATACAGGAATATTCAGATTTTGAATGGTGCAGTAAATTAAAAACTCAGACTTAGAATAAGTTTTTTTCTATTATGATCTCAGATTGTGAAAGATGACAAATTCCTTCACGTCAAGTTTGAAAATTTATGTTTCAAGAAAGAAAAGTTTTAATTGTCAGAATATCAAATTGTGATTTGAAAAAAATACAAAAGTGACATTTACATGTTAGATTCTATGAATTATTGAAATAAGGAATCTACGATTTTTAAAAAATTAGTATTATGTTTCCTTGTAACCTGCTCAAGCACTTGTCAGTATTGTATTAGTTTTTCATTCAATCTCTAGAAGTTCTGTGATATCCATGTCTTTCCTGATGTGACAATGTATGTACAAAGTCCCAACTGTAGGTAACCTGTGCTTATACATTTGTTTAAATATACTATATTAATGATATATAGAGCTATGTATCTGAAAACAAACTGATACAAAACGTGTTTGTTGTATGGTATTATATATAGAGCATAATTAAACTATGCTTATTTACTTAGTGTACAAATTTTTAAAGCAATAAAATTTCAAAACTGAAAAAAATTATAATTTTGTACTTTCTATTATTGTCTTCAATCTTAGAACTGTGTCATGATTGTACAATGAAACAGAGCTTGTTTGTAGCCTTACAGGCACTTACTGTTAGCTGCCATCACCCAGTCCTAAGCTGCAATATTCATCATTTTTCTACCTTAAACAAGAGATCCAAGATGGATCTTCACATCCACTATTGTCTAATTTTAATTGCTGGGTGTTTTCCCTTTCCTTCTCTACTTTCCTATGTTTTTGTTTTGAAATTCGAAAATTTAGAAAATAGCATTAATCATCTTTTAACTGCAAAAATCTTAAGATGGCCACCAGTCAGACATTTTGTTTTTGTGATTAATCCCATAATCAAAAGTGCATGACCTATGACCAAGGAGAACCTACATACAAAATTTAGAAAAGACGATACAGTATTTCACAAGAAACAGCGCCAGCAAAAACTGACCCAAGAGGAACCCATCTATGAAATTCTAAAGAAACAGCGATAATGAAAATTGTTTATAGATGGATGAAGGTCACAGACATGGCGAGATTTTGATAATAAACAATATGATGATGGTGTGTTAAAGATGAAGCAAATTATTTGCCAAAATATCCTATAATTTTCCTTATTTTGAAGAGATTAACAGTTGCCCCTATACATTGACCATGCCTTACAACATGTTTTTATTAATTAGTTAATAAACATTGACTCTAAACACTTAGTTAGGTGGGAAAATTCATCTCTTAACAGGAAAACAGACAGACTACAGGTCATGGGTGACACCTGAAAATAGTGACAGACTTCAGGTCATGGGTGACACCTGAAATTAGTGACAGACTACAGGTCATGGGTGACACCTGAAAATAGTGACAAACTCTAGGTCATTGAGGACACCTGAAAATAGTGACACACTATAGGTCATTGAGGACACCTAAAAATAGTGACAGACTATAGGTCATTGAGGACACCTGAAAATAGTGACAGACTATAGGTCGTTGAGGACACCTGAAAATATTAACAGACTAGAGGTCATTGAGGACACCTGAACATATTGACAGACTATGGGTCATTAAGGACATCCGGAAATAGTGACAGACTACAGGTCATTGAGGACACCCGAAAATAGTGACAGACTATTGGTCATTAAGGACATCTAATAATAGTAACAATTCTTCATGTATTCTTTATCTTTGACCTGAAAATGATTTTTTTTTTCAAATAAAAACATCAGAGTGACGAGATGAAAACTACAAGGGTCATCCATATTTTGCTATTAAGAAAAGTGCAAATATATTCCTGTATTTTTATGTTTTCTGCTGAAATCCACAAAGGGACATAACACATTAAGTTTAGTTCAGTTGACCACTTATTGCACTGTTTCTCACCAAAAGAGATTCTGGACTGGAATGCTGTACAAGTGTCTGGTTTGATACTTACTTGGAAAACACTACTCCCTTTTCTCACTGGTAGAAAGATCATCACAATCTCAACTAGTAAATAACCTAATATATAAATACCATACATTTTTATAGGACAATTCAAAGAGTAAAATTTAACACAAAATAAAAAAAATTATTCTGTTTCTCAAATTTTAATGCCACTCATATCCAAATCAGTACATCATGTCAATACATTTGAAATTTCAACAAATATCAAAATAAAAATCAAAGCTTAACAAACATTCAGCTCTCGCTTAGAGTCATGGAGACTGTAATAGGTAAACTTAGGTATTCAAATAATGATACCAATGCCTAGAACTTATCAGCCAAATACAAGTCAACCTTCCTCTAAATTAATTGGCATCATTGAAAAATAGGTCAAAACCTGGCCTTACAACCTGCAGCAGTATATATACTAGGGTATACAAGTACTTTCAGCTGGTGAAGAGATGCACCATTAAAGTTTGATTAAAAAATATATCAAAACAGCTCATGAATCAGAACTGAACACCAAGCGTGAACGGTGATATGAACTTTGGTAGTCCATTGATGAAATATTTCTCCTTACTTAAAATTTGTTATATAATGGAGAAGGGTTTGTATTCAGGTACAATTGGAATCTGCAACATTTGTTTGTTAGGTTAATTGCCATGTGTATATTTAGGACCATTTTGAGGTAGAGTATTTGTGTAATAGCTGGTGGCTACCTCACTGAGCAACATAGGAAAGGCCCTTACCATCCAAAGCAACTGGAGAAAAGTTTCTTGCCTCATGACACAACCATAATAGCAAAGGCTGGTCCGTTTTACAGCTGAAAAAATCAAATTGACATGGATGGAAGTGTTATACTGCATATAATGGATCTGCATCTAAGGGTTGTAATAGACACAATGATCTGCCATGGCCCCTATTCTGTAATGACTAAAGGAGGAAAGTTCATCCATTATTGATCTTATTTTTTCCCTCTCTTTTTTCTTCAAATAAAAATATCTTTTAAGTCATGAATACACTTTTTAAAAATCGAAATAAATATTGACAAATTTCTTTATAAAGAAACAGTGACCATCACCTTAGCTTGGAACTCTGAAACACAAAGTCATTTGAAGTATTTAATGGTGTAATTTGATCAAATCCCTTCATAAATAAAGACATCAAAGTATTTCTAAAAAGTTGTAATGGTTATCCTGAGATTGAATTAAGAACCTTGAGACATAAACTGCTTTAGGTCTTCTCATTAAAACCCTTTCAGATCTGAAGTAACTACAAGTCATGGCATTGAATGATTTTCTATAAATAGTAACAGAGGCTTTATGCTTGGCCTTAGAACTACATGTGTGTCATAGTTGACTTTTGCAGAAATTTGATTAAATTCACTTGAGAACTGACATCAATAGATGCGTCATTGAATATTTTCTATAAAAAGTAAACTGACGACCTTGACTTTGGAACTCTGAAACACAACCTCATTCGATTTGATCTTTGGACAAGGTTTTATCAGTATTGTTTACAAATAATGTTGTAAGATTGATAACAGGTTTACATCAGGGATGAAATAACAAAGGAAAGGCATTAGGTAACGCTATCGTATGTGTGTATATGCACACTTTTAGGAAATTATTGTTTTTCAAAACTGTAAAACACAGCATACACAACAATAAGTCATACTCATGGAAGTTTATACTTAAACTTGGGTCCATACAATTTAATAGAAGTAGAATTTATTAGGTTTAAAAATCCTCATGATCTTATAAAAATCATTGAGTTCCCTAGATCAAAGAATACCTACCACATCAGGACTGGAACAAATAAGGTTGATAACCTTTTACCAATACTGATGGAATTTAATTTACTGACCAACTCAACTTACATTGTTTATGTCATTCAGATTGCAAGGTCACACCTTTTTCGTGCAATGTGTTGGCCTAAACAATTTTCTATCCCAAATCGAAACCCTTTAAAACCTTCTTTATTAAAAGCGTTTGAAGATGGAAGTGAAAAAAACCTGAAACTCTATATACTAGTAAGGATAAACAATTTCATGCCAATTTTTATCAAAGCTTCATTGTTCATAAGCATCATCACCAACAATTACTATCCAAACAGATACAGGTAAATGAAAATGACTTTATATCAATTTGCCTTGTCTAGGGATAATCAGGTCAAAAAAATTTCTTCATTTTCCTTTCTCCGTCTCAAAAAAATTGTAAGACATTTTACAAGGTAAAACACCCATTATCCTCAAGTTAGACAAATTTTGGTGGCAGGGAGTCTGGCCGCCAAGTGTTACATGTAACTATGTAATAATAAAAATTTTGGCACACACTGAGCCTCACCTACAAGGGCTACATGAGACCATGTAATCATAAAAATTTTGACACACACTGAGCCTCACCTACAAGGGCTACATGAGACTATGTTAACAAAATATGTGTAACCCACCGTAACCAAGGTCACATTAATCACCCACCTACATTATGTATCTTTCATTTTTTTCTATGATCAATTATTTTCATGGAATTTAAGCTGTAATTGGTATATCTTTAATAGGGATAGACTAGATAAGATATTGTAAAATCATTTCTTGGAGGATCTATATTCCTTGATTCTGATCATAAGTCCATGAACTGTTGAAATATGTATATATATATTTATGTTGAGATTTTCTATCTTCAGAATCAAGTGTCCACAAACAGGTGACTTTTTCCAAAAATCATGAAAATTAAGCTCCACAAATTTATTAAATCTCACACAACATTAGTCAACATTATTGTATACAAATGATTTTTTTTCTAGCTTCCACACATAAACAAAGGCACCAAGTCTTCTTACTCATTACAGTGAGAATACCATGGTACATGTATCTTGACATTAACATTTTTATTTCACTGCCCTAAAAATATGCTGATAAAATCTTACTGTTCATTGCATAGAAAAACTGTGATAAAATCTTACAGATATGTCATGTTCACTGCAGTGACAATATTGATATATTGGAGGTCTGATCAGCCACCACTAGTTTTCTTACACCATTTTTCTCGAAAGGTTTCATCCAGTTAACTTTGTTTGAATGCTGGATCTCTAACACTTTACAAGCACTGGATACATTTTCATTCCTCTGTTCCTGGGGATGAGTGTGACCATTGGTCAAAGGGCTGGCACCATTACTTTCACTGACATTTGGTGTTGCTTCAAGGTCGTTCCATTTTTCAAGGTCCCACAGTACAACACAACAATCATTACCTCCGGACACAAGACACGAGTCAGAGATGAAGTGAACCTGTGAAGTACCTTGAGAATGTGCATGCAGACTGCAAAACTCACGAATGTTTTTTCTCCTCATGTCAAACAGAGAGACTAGTCCATTTTCTAATGCACATGCGAGGTAATGTCCATTACTTGAGGATGCTAAGTTGTGTATAAAGGGTGGATTAACCATGTAGGCCTCCACATCAGAGTTTGTGGTCTGCATTTCTTGCATATTGAACTGATTCAAACACTTTGGCCTTGAAAAATCCCAATGAATAAGTTTACAGTCTAGACCCCCTGTTATAACCTCCCATGGTTTTTTTGGTCGAAAACACACAGACGAACATATGTTAGTGTGTTTGTGTCTTAGAGTTTTATACACTCGCTTTTCTTGAATATCAAGAATTTTTATTTCACCGGAGTCATCACATGCAGCAAGAAATTTTTCTTTCTCATCCAACACTATCTGGTTCACTTCATCTTGATTCACATTGAATGTTTCCACAGGTTCTGAAAAGTTCTTCAGGTCAAACACACAAATTTGGTCATCAAAAGACGAGTAAAGAATATTTTCTTTTTCCTTAGAAAAACTGACTGATCCACAATCAGTATCTGGGTTTACATACTTATGAACAAGTTCTCCACTTGTGGACCAGAGACAAACCTGGCCTCCCTCTCCTCCAGATACAATGTTGCTACCATCCTTTTTCACATCCACACACAGCACAGTACTGGTATGGCCTCCAGATAAGACTTCAGTCATCCTGAAAATCAAAAACAGATTTATTTTTTTTCAATATGATTATCAGGTAAGTATAGTGATGTAATCACAAACTAAATCCTGATGAGAGGAAAAGACTAGTCAAATGCTAATGGCCTACTACCTTCTACATGACTATGGATTTAACAATGCCAGGGCTAATCATGGAACATGGTTTAACTCATTTCTTCATGTCCTACAAGGTTACAGATACTGGTACATATGGGCCTAAATCAGCTGAAGGAGCCAACTAAAATATTTTTAGTATAAATATGTGATTAAGGATTTGTACTAGAGCTCAATTCTTTCTGTAATACAGGTACTTCTTTCGAAATGGTTCCCAGCAGTAGTCAGATGTGGTAGGTGTAACTACAGAATGCAACTTCACTGGGTTTGGCATATACCTGATCTCAACATCTAGAGGACAACATCTTGTCATAATCTAGGTTCTAAGTAGCTTGTCTTTGGTAATCATTTTAATTGCAACAACAGGCTAAAGTCAGCGGGATATTGATAGGATATTGGACATGCGTAGAATGGGCCAATACATTCCTGTCTCTTAGTTGCCTCAATGACAAGTCCCAGAAGGATGAAACAGCTGTATGGCTTATTCTATTCATTATTCAGCTATACTATATCTAATTCTATATTTGTATTGAAAACAGATATATAACTTAGAATATAGAATCAATCTTTATTTCATAAATATATATATTATCATGCTTCACATTCTAAAAAAAAAAATAAGAAAATAAAATCTTTCTTGATATTTTTAACATAATTTATAATTAGATACACTTTGTATCTAAACAAGAACTTCATTTGAATTTTTTGGTTATGATGTCTGACCAAAGTTTGTCATCTTGTCATTATTATTGAATTTCTACATATATACAACACTATAATACACATTACTATAAATGTATCTTTTACTCTTATACTTCTCTTCCCTCAACATTGAACTATGAATATTTCGACCACCAACATATGATACTGAACTTTGGACTTTCTCACAAACTCGAGAACAATCTAGATCTTATATATGTATATCTTTTACCATACATTTATATCTAGATATGTGTTCTGATATAAAATAAAGGTAACTCTCGTGACTATTAAGAAAACGCTATCGATACATAACTTGTTAAATATGACCTACCTGATGAATAGAAATATGAACAATAGAATACAACAGCCGAAAGCTTAAATCAAGTGTTGACAGCAGACAAACAAGTAATCAGTGAAACAGGCTTCACAGTAAGGTAGTTTTGCTTTCTATTTCTATAGATAACCGAGACCTAAATATGACAGCTGATGTCATGTACGATATGCACCAAATACAAAACCAGTATGAGCCTCACCAGTACAAGATACTCTATCATAGGGCTCTTTCTGGTATCATATCAGCCCAATTTCGATGTATACATATTTTAATCTTTTTGCCATCATTATCATTACATATAAATGTCAAAACGAACTCAGCAGGTTGCAATGAAATGCTGATAATTATCATACATTGATGAAATGTGTTGATACAGCTTTGGTTAACGTTTTACATTGAAAAAGAATTAATTTAGTATAAATACTGTAAAATCAGTTATTTTTACAAAACTCACTTTTTAAAAAATCAAAACTTATTTCATTGGGAATCGTATTTTGTGGAAAAATATATCTCATTGAATCTATTTATACTAATTTGATCAGTTTATAGACATTTGAATTTGTGGATTAAACAAACCCTCACAAACAAGAAAAATAAATCCTCCAGGAAAATTGATGTTATTTCATTATACAGTTTGTAGTATGAATAAGAGTCCATTAGGGCCTGTATCACTCACCTTGTTTAGTTCACTAAAATTTCTTCACCTAAACTGAATGAAAATCATTTAACTGAAGCATACTTGTTTCCATTATTAGGCCCCACTCCTCTGCTTAATGGGGATCAGATGCACCAATCACACAAAATTAAGTTCCCTTCATCTGGGAATGTTTCAGATCCAAAATGATAACATTACTTTTTGAAATTACTGCGTCAACAAATTTTGAGAGAGGGATAAAAGTGGTGTCCTCAAGTTATGGTCTTGTATGAATGTATTTACCTGAGTGAGAGCTTCCAGTGATTGTGTTAGTCAAGTGAATGTGTTGTGTATTGTAATTTAATTATGTTGGGTTATTCAGGTACAGTTGTCAGTGTAAAAGCATGTTGACTCATTGCACATGCTCTCTTTTCTCTTTCAAGACCTGTACAGAAGAAACAAGGTATTTTCCCTACTTAATCTTTATGCTTGGTGTCTGATGTCGGAGAGATTACTAACACTTGACATGTTCTGGGAGTAGGGTGAATGCTGGGAGCTTTTGGATGTGGGTGCATGGCGTTTGACACTGGGAAAGCTGAAAATTGCCGAATATGCCAGTACTGGCAGTTAGGTGATCTCGTCAGCATTGAGAAACATGTATATGAGGTGTTCTCGTAATTTCCCACAATACCAGGATCCCTGTGCATTTTCCACCAATCTATGTGTGTTTTAATTTGTGTACACAATAGACTACACTGTCATCACTGAATTTCTGTTGTTTCATCATTATCTATCCAGTGGATTGCTACAGCCAGAACCCTTTGGACTAATGATTGAGGTTTGTACCTTTGACTGCAGAGCACTACTGTACATCATCAAATCAAGGCCTCGGTAGCTAGGTTCACTAATGCACTGATAGTATGACTATGCTGTAGTGAGTGTATCGAATCCTTAGCATCAGACCACTTTCTCCTAGAACATGGATTATAAATGTGAAAATGGCAAGGATAGAATGATGTCAGCAGGTTCGTTATTAGCCCAACGACTGATGGCAACAATGGTTTTCCCAAAAGCATTGTTTGTCCCCATAGCCACAACATGATAAAAGTTCTACATACTACCCTTAGAATTATTATCATGAAGTCAGGAGGTGAGTTTTTAACAAAGCCTTACTGAGTGTAGCAGTTGATAGATCTGATGGGAGTTTGTTCCAGTCTAGGATAATTTTGGAAAGAAAAAATAAATATTTTCATCAGTCTGTTAACACTTAGTAGTGTTAAAAAGATAAGCAAGGATGAGGGAGTGCGAGATAGAATTCTTTGAAAATCGTTAAAAAAAACAAGGCAAAAAGGTTGTGGTAATTCTTATATCTGAACCAGATAGTTAGACGTCCATACATATATCTCGATGCACTAAAGACAGACATGCTCTTTTTTTCTGCTGTAACTCTGACCAATACTTCTACTAGCAGCAATATACCACCCGGATGAAGAGAACTTTTCTTTAGCTCAATTGGGTTAGCCAAAGGTCCTTGGTTTGAATCCTTAACATGAGAGTTGAAGTTAAATATCTGTTAGCTTTATTTAATTTTCTTGGTGATGTGTGATTAATCGTTTTATGCATTTACTTAATATCATCGACTAAGTTAATACCGTTATCCATCGCATGTTCTAACATCTCCTGAATATCCGAAAGTAGGACATAAATAATGTCTGTATCGCTTTTTCTTTTTATCCTCACACGGTTATGAACAATTACTATCATTCATATATGGATTGTGACAAACCATACACTTCTCATTGCTCAGCTTCTGGAAACTTTACCTGAAATGTCTTCTCTTTTCGTCCCTTAACTTGAGATTATTATGCGGAAATAAAGGTAACGGATGTTATGCTTGTTTGGTAAGGTCGCGTCGCAAGTATACTCGAATGGGTTGAAATCTCGCGATAGTTTCTGTGAGCCGAGAGGGATTTATCATGGCGGCTAGCTGTTGTGGGGTGAAGAAACAAAAGCTCAACAATTCGATGCCATCGATTTGTTGTAATGGCTCCTCGGTTCATCCGAATACCTTCAAAAATGGCTATAGTGTAGCCTGTCGCGACATGTGTTACTTCTGTTTTGACGTTTTGCACAGTTATTTGCATAATTACGATCCGCCCAGAAACCCACTTTTCACCAACGATGCATAGTAAGTTGTACCAAAACAAGCCCCAGGGTTCATCTGAAAACCGTCAAATTTCGAGTGTTTCTGTTTGGATATTCAGCTGTTTTGAGTTAGTTTCTTACAGGAAATAGATGCACGTATAGATATCATTAGAAAAAGAGTCACTACTTGACATATTTCAGTCATGAATTAGAAAAGTTAAGGAATGACAAAAGGAACTTGTATTTATGATTTGGACGATTCCATATGTGTTGTGGGGATGTACAGTTACCAAAGTGTATACAAACAAACCTCAGCTCCACGAAGAAACCTTTGTGTATTTAAATCTATCGTCCGGATCGCCCTTCTTCCTGACTTTATGTTGGTGATTTATCTAGATCTAGCAGATTAATGATACTGTCTAAATGAAGAGATAATTATGATGAAGATATTATTAAAACGACACCGACAGCTGCTGATCAGCTGACTCTAGACTACAGTAGTTCTAAGGAAATTTAAAATATATTGTATGGCACCTAACAAAGAAATTATAAACTGTGAATCAGTATTGAATATATCTATGTGTTTCTTCTTCTTTTAATAATTTTTAAAGATGTGAATAAATTTTATACCAGTTCTGTTGGACAGTCATTTGAAATTGGAATTTGGTGATTTTTTCACTATTTTAGTCCTATGATTTTGTTTTTGTATTTCTATGACCCATATGCTTATGATAATGTATGCGTATCAGTTTAGCTTCTCACCTCTATTTTATGTATTTTACATCTGGAGATCATATCCAAATTAAATGTTAAAGTAACTTTGACATTTAAATTAGTGTAACTTTGATATTTAAGGCTCTTTACTGTGTATTTATTTATTGATCAGTTTCCAGCACTAGTAATCAATTGTAAGATTAAATTGTGTTGGAAATAAGACCAGGTGCAATTAATTCGACTTTTGTATACACATGCTTACACTGTAATAGTATGTTTACATCATGTCTTACTGTTATAAATTTTAAAGTTAAATGCCTTGTCCAGCAGAATTTGACTAGAAGTTTAGTTGGTCAACATATAACTAATTATATTGAATTGAGACATGCATTAATTAATACTTACTTATATGATTTCATGTATGTTTACAACACACTAATTTTATATAGCTAGCAATATCATTCCTGTTTCATGATTTTCAGTCTTACTTCAGTAAGACATATATCATATGTTTACTATACTGATAAAACCATTGTCGTATGTTTGATAACATAAGTCTGAAAGTACCACAAGTTGATATCAGCCTAAGTGATATCATATATTTGAACATAAAAATTATTGGTTTGGAAGAAAACCATTTTTTTCCAAAATTTCTGGATGGTGACATTTCTGGATAGATTTCACTATGATAAACCTGTAAAATGTAAGCAGCTAAGCATGTCCAGGACTAATGATGGAAAAGCAATTTTAGCACAACTTGTGACAAGAATTGTTGATTGGAATGAGTTTTAAAAACAAAAACACGATAAAAATACTACAGGGCTCTCGCACCCCATTTTGGGACTGGGGCCCACGGCCCTTAGAATTGGGAAAAATAGCAGCATTTTCCTTAGAATTGGGAAAACTTGGGTTCTAAATTGGGAAAAAAAATACTTTTTTGCATTGGGAATGGGGCAGAATATCGGCCCCAAGTTATATGTGTTTAAAGTTTCTGTATTTTGATGTAAAGCTATCCTGAGGGAATTCGAAGCTGTATCTAACTTCTGTGTGGAATTTTCTCAAACTTTTGAACTCAAATAATGATAACAACAAATTAAGAAAGTGAAAGAGAGTTATAGAAAAAATTATAAATTCATTAAGGTAATACCATATGGTTTTGATAATACTTTGCATAATTTTAATTAAATTTTGTCCATTAAAATTTTTCAGTCCATTGTTTGTCACATGGAAAATAGGTAGTAATCGTCGCCTCCGAGGATGTATAGGAACATTCTCCGCCACCAATCTTCACAGTGGCCTCAGGGAATACGCTGTCACTAGGTAAGTATACTTGTATATACCAGCAATTATGCTAAAAGAATGGATTATGGTCCCTAAATATGAAGTATACATGGTTGTATAGATGTGTACTTGAAACTTTACATTCTGGTGTAAAGGAATACACACCAGGTAAATATGATATACATGTTATTAGGTACATGACCTGGAATAATCAGTCCTCTACTCTGGTTGAGAGAAATATACCATTTCATCATATTTACCCTGTCAGAAGTCTAGCATCTTTTAATCACCTTAACCCAGGGAATTTTGTGTATAAGATATATATATGATAAGCCCAAGGGCCAAAATATTACTGCAGTTTCATGTTGGGGGATTGGCTTATTACAGAACACTTAATGACAGTGTTTGATACATGTGTAGCCTTTATATCAATCGATAAAATACAACTAAAACTCAGGTATAATATATGTTTCACAATGGAGTTAATTATTGGCAGTCAAACACGTTAGGTACAGATATTTCATTTTTATGTGTTTTAATCTTCAGAAATTTTTGCATGGATGATGATCCAAAATTTTTGCATGGATGATGATCAATGTATTATGATGATGATGATGATGATGATGATGATGATGAATGTATTATATTGATGATGATGATGATGATCATGATGATGTATGATTGTCTACAATGTATTGGAAAATAAAAATAATTAATTTTAAAAAAAAAAGAAATTTTTGCATGTTATTGCATGTAAAAGTTTTGGAACTTCTTTCTGTTTTACAGTGCTATGAAGGACAGTCGTTTTAGTCCTATAACTAAGGACGAGTTTAGCAAACTACATGTATCTGTGTCCATACTCACTAATTTTGAGGATGCCAAAGACTTTGAAGACTGGGAGGTGAGTAATATCATGGTTAAATTAATAATTATACATTATAGTTTATCATGATGACTCACTCACCAGATTGGGCCTATATTATAAGCATGATATTAATTGCCATAGCAAAAAATAATTTGGAGGAATGCCAAGGTTGGGTGCTTGGGTTCATCCCCCTGACATCATGGAACTACTTGCAGAAGGTCTCGCTTCTTTTTTCATTAATTAATTTTTATTTCATCACATTTATTCTTCTCTCTTCCACCATTCATTCATTCATTCATTAATCTCATTAATATAGTATTTCATTTTGCTGGAAAATAAAAAGAAAATAATTTGAACCCTTTAAAAAAAGTTAATTGTCCTGGAGGCCTACTTAGATTTTGTTCCCCAAAAATACACCTTCACAGGTGCATCATGGATAAATGATAAACAAGAGATCCCAACTTTAACAGTTGTCTGAATAATGAAGATATGAGTTTGTGAATTAAGGGTACACAATGAATCATTAAAGATAAGTCCCTCCTGAAAATTAATGGTTTTACTCTATATGACTCTATATGAGAGGATAAATATTGGACAAACTAGCTACTTTTGAATTTCTGTTTCACTGAGAATTATATTTTCCTAAAAGGACTACATATTTGCCTAAAGTCAAAACAACTGTTTTTCTTGACTGAAAATGTGATTAAGGTAAAGCATATTGATTCATAGTAACTAATTATAAGTTCATTCACAAAATGTGTCACATTTCTTTGTTTGTTGAATTTAGAATGTTTTGCAAGTCATTTAATATGGCCAGAAATAGTCTTGTGTGTAAACTTGTGTGATTGGTTTTGTTTCTTTTAAAGGTTGGAACACATGGCATTAGGATTGAGTTTTTAAATGAGAAAGGTCACAAGAAAACAGCCACATATTTACCAGAAGTTGCCATAGAGCAAGGTAACAAATTCTTTTCAACATCTTATACAGTGCAGTTCTATATAATGTTATTGATGATAAACCCAGTGGAGGAGTGAAGTGTGTGAATGCATGCTTTTATCATGTAGTGTCTCATCATACACTCATTATAAGATCAACATTCCTACTTTCATCAGACGTTCAAAAATGATTTTGTAAAGAGCGTGTTAAGGCGCTAATGTTTTTAATAGTGTTTCCTTGTAAATTATAAGGTCAAGATTTAGGACAATAATTTAGGATTTGTAGTAGCGAAAACAGGCATTTTTTAATTTGACTTTATGATTAATGAAAAAAGGGTTATTCATTCCTCTTTATTTTGTCTTTAATTTGTTTAACCTGTTTTCAGTACATGTTGTATTATATTTGTTTTAACAAGATATTTTTATTAATTGATGGTTTTAATGCACAAATTCTTCAATTTACATAGAAAAATATCTGAAAACTTTCTGGCTAGTCACAATTTGAACTGTAGATATTTTTAAAGGACATAGGACTTGTTTTTTTTTTTTATTATTTTGTATTTTCTATTAATAATGACACAGTGGTTGCTATAATTCATAAGAAGCAGCCTCTCCCCACGCTTAGGTGAATAAATATAACCTATGAGATAAGCTACCTGTTAACTGAGTGTTCTGATATGCATATTCTGTTGGGGATAAAGTGATTGATGGATTTGTGATGTCATTAGTGACCCCCTGTTGATAGTTAGCCATTATATAGCTTGTACATATAACCACAGATCAGTCAAAACTCTTGTTTAATTCCATATTTTTCAAACATTAAATATATTTTTATTGATTGCTATATTTGTAAGAACAGTCCTTGTAAAGGTATAGGTAAAGAGAGGGCACAAAAGAATGCACTTGTGAAAAGTTTTTTTTTTTTCAGAAAAATATTACTAACAACACTGATCATGTTGACAGAATAATACATTTTTCCAAAACTTGTTATGAAGGGAATAAAACAACAAACAAAATTATTTATATTTTTGTTGTCTTGTCAGTGGTGCAGTGTGTAGTGAGCGGTTGCTGCATTTGATTTGGCAGATGTAATGTAAATACATGACAGAAGAAATGTGAAAACATACACTTGTGTGATATAGTATGGAAAAGCCTTGACAAAAGTGCTTATCACAAAATTTGCAAGTATTGCCAGACCCCATTGTATAGGTTATGAACTGCTGGTCAGATATCCTATCATGTCTCATCGATTGTTTTGTCCCTCTAGGACAAGTCAGTGATGCTAAGGGCCTAAATTTTGAAATCGAGGAAGTGACAGAGGAAAATTTACAGAATGAATTTATAGGTCACCTTAGACAAAGTCTCAGGGTGACCTATTGCAATCCCCTTTTGTCCGGCATTGTACATTGTAAACTTTTAACATTTTCAACTTCTTCTGGAAAACTCCCGTACCGATTTCAATGAAATTTTACAAAAACCTTCCATTGCTAAAGGAGCACCAAAATTTTAAATTGTACGGTCCTCAACCCCCAAGGGCCTGAGGGGCAGTGCCAAAGAGGGTTAGATTGATTGCAACTTCAAAAGTCTTCTTGTCAAATCCTAGATATAGTAGAATCAAGTACTCTTCATGGATGGAAGGCTTTCAGATGTTTTACCAAAATTGTAAATTTCATGACTCCAGGGTCTCACATTTCTCCTTAAGGAGGTGGTAAAATTTATTAAAGTTTATAGAGGAAATTTACATTTTTGAACATTATTTGTTTATTTTCTATTGGAAATTATTCAAACTTGGTTAGAATTATTTGTTTTAATGAGTGAAGTTAAATGAGATGCACATATTGACCTCAACTGACCCCAAGGGGCTGATGGGTGGAGCCAAGAACAGGTCAAATTGACTGAAATTTCAAAAATCTTCTCAAAACTCAATTGTAATTATCCTTGTGGTCAGTGTTCCCAGGTACACCAGTTAATCTGTTACATGATATCAGTACAAGTGTGTCGCAGTGTTAGATATTGGTAATTGGTCAGAACTGATCACCAAGTATCATTTTCGAAAGTTAAAATAATAGGTAATTGATAATGATATACTTAGATTGTAAATATGGACGACAGTTGTGAGATTAAATAATTTGAAAATCTCCTAGTTATACATAAAGACAGAGACCTAAAAATCAGGACTTTTTGTCAACTGGTGTAGAATTTGGTTGTCAAATCCATGCTCTGATTGCTTGGTATGGACAGAGAATCATATATCTCATATGAATTTACACATTTAAACCAGGTCACAAGTAAAATCAGCCTGTCATATGGCGAGTTCGTTACCAATCTGTAGTTAAGAAAAGGTTCATATTTGTGTCCTATGTCCTTTAATACCAAATAAATATATTACACATTTTACTTCTTTTTTTCAGCAAAAAGGATACCAAAATTTAGAGTTAGTACCTTGGTCTCAATAAACCTCATACATGATAAATATACATTGTTATAAATTTCATTCTTCAGCTTTATTTTGTGTAAACCTTACATTGTGGAGTCTTTTATTGAGAATTTATATACCAAGTTAACGATCAATATTAACAGGCATTTTATTGTTTTACAGGATGGAACATTGAACAAACTATAGACTCTCTTCTCCGTAAAGGAGGATTCCGCGGACCTATAACAAATGATGTTCGTAGGAATTTACGATTGACTCGATATAGGAGTGAAAAAATAATGGTAGCTTACGGGGACTATGTAGGCTCCAAACAGAATGGCCATGCATGATGATAGCAATGTACAGCAATGTACCCTGGCAGCAGTAGGGAGCACAACATTGGCGAAAAACTCCTCATTCTTCACCATGGAATAGATGTCGGAACACCTGAAAAATCTAGTACAACTGTATTCAAATTATTTGTGGAGAATATGTAGATATATGTTGTATCACTTCAATATGTCTGATGTTTTAGGAGCTGTTGGCCTAATCCATGGGAGGATGACAAAATCTTACAGCGCATATAAAATTTCATCAGCGAAGTCCTTTTTTAAATAAGACAGCCTTAGAGATAAAATTACAAATCCAGCAAAACAGCTCCTTCAAAAGACCTGACTTTTATTTCATTATAACATTGACAGTTTTCTAATAACTTTTATGAATGTGTGGTTTAACCTCTGAAAAAATGCCTAGATTTCTAGAAATCAAAATATTTCCATTGATGTGCTGAATTTTCTAGGGCTGGTTGACAACCTTAATTTTCTATCTAAGGCTGATTGATTCCCTTAATTTTTCTATCTTGGGTTGGTTGGCTCCTGAATTTTCCTTCTAGGGTTGGTGTGCTCCTACAAACATATTGCTTATTGAGGTCAGTCATGATAAAATCTCTAAATACTCAGGTTTTGGCCAAGTCAGGAGTATTTTGAGTTGTTTATTGTCTTCAGAATCAACACAACATATACATGCATATAAATATGTAAGTTACATTTTATGTGTGTGCTTGGGTATGATTTCCATGAATTGATATTTATGTATGATATATAAGTATATGAAATTGTTGTTATAAATCATTGGAAGAACTTTGATCTGGAAACATTCACATCGTTTCACACCATTTATTCCTGAAATGTCACCAACATCGACAGACACCTTTTTTTTCCTCCTTTTTTCGACACGACAATAATTGTTAACTTAACAATAATTTTTCAAACTTGTAGAAAATTTTTCAAATTAAATAAAGATAATTGAAAGTATGAAGAACTCAAAAGAAAAATTGCAGGTCAAATGTCTTGTTCAAATTGACCCAGTTGTGATCTCTCTGATACTGTTATTCTCGTGGTCAATTTGGTGGTGCTATTGACTGCTAACGTAGTCATTGGCTTGTTGTATAGCTTAGTGTATTAGTTAAAGTAGAACCTTTTATGACATTTTGAGCTCATTATATAAATATTAATACATTTTTTCATTAATCTGAAATCAAGAGTAAGCCGAACATTGTCAGAAAATAAAACAAAAACCGTTTATAAATACAGTTACCATTGTTTGAATTAAGGAGGGTCATAAGCTCAATTTTTATTCACATTTTATACCATGCACAAGAATGGTTGTAGAGACTGAATAATAATATTCAACCAAACTTGAAAACACTGTAAGACCCACCTCCAAGCTGGTCTCTTCCCTTCCCCCACCCTCCATTTCAACCATTTGCCGCCTTTTTCTATTTAATAAAACATCGGAGACGGTCTCAGGGAAACATATCTGGCTGCTTTAGATAGAGTTAGAACTGGCTTGTGTGTGTACATGTGTGTGAGTCATTTTTGTATCTGTGTAGGGTGTAATAGTAGGATTGTTGTAGAATAAATGACTGTTTCAAAGTTTAATTATTCCTTTGTATAAGCACATTGAATTTCTCTTGAAGTAAATTTGCACCATTCTTAAAAGAATACATTAATAAATTAGATACTAATCACTCTAAGCAGTTGTTACCTAATAGTGATATTTATATAGGAATATAGACTCTGGCCCTCACAATATTTTGTTTCACTATGCGATAAAGGGTTTCAAGGTAAAATCTTTTAGCGGAATAAATATGATGCTTAAAAACTCTACTGATCCTTTGGTTTGATCAGTATTCCTATACATGTACAAAGTCATAAGTCCCCTAGTGATACCAATGATCTCGTATGATTGAAATTCTCTGTTTGGTCCTTTGGATCTTCCAATGATCTCGGATGTTATAAAGCTGCCTATTGTTTCATGGTTTTACCACTTATCTAAGTTGTTACAAAGCTGCCGATTGGTCTGTCTTTCTATCAATTGAGAAAAATGATACAAAACTGCCAACTGCTCCATGCCTCTTGCAATTGTAAACAATTTCTACATAACTGCCTATTGGTCCCTGGTTCTACCAATTATTTTAGGTTACTTGTGATGCCTTTGCTCTTAGATAGTGTAAAGGAGAGTCCACAGATGTCATGGGAAGTTTGAAAAATCAATTGGTTTTTATTTTTCCCCTCTTAAGTTGTTAAAAAGTCCTCTAGGCATCTAGGCAGATGGACTGTGATAATTCTGATTCACATTTTTTTTATCTCACATTTAATACAACTTTTATACTTCACCTATGGAGTTTTTAAGCTAATAACTGGTAATACTTTAGATCTAATACTTCTGTTAATATAGACTTGTTACATGTGTGTTTGTTGTTGTTTTAAATGATACAGTGTTGATTATATATGCATGGTTTTATGTGAGTTACTTTCCATCCCATTTTTGCCAGATATATTTTTTGTGTTCTTGGTTAGTTGAGAAATCATCAACAGTATAGATGTTGCCACTGATTTGCCAGAACGTTGATAAATATTTATTAACATGTGCAAAACATACTGACACATATGCATACACAAACATACAACACTCAATTTGTGTTCTGCTTCACATATCATGATTGGAAGACCAATATATGACATTCTGTGGTGTGTGACTGGTCTGTATACAAGATGTCATCATTTTGCATCGCTGCCAGAATATTTGCTGTACATGCAAAGTTAGGAACATCAGTTTTTAATTCTACAATGTCATGATTATAGTGATTGTCAATTTTAATAAAAACTTCAGTTTTATTTGTTTTGTAATATGATAGTATTTAGCATTGAGGTAGAGGGAGATATGTTTATTAAAAGGAGATCATTATTTTAACAAGTTTTCTTTAGAGTTTGTAACATGGTCTATGTATAACTATTACTTATGATCTTATTGTTATTACAAATATAGAACAGACCATAATAAACTTTTTCAATAAAACCTTGTCACACTGCCACTTAATTCAAGATAAAACCTTGTTATATTGCCACCAGTTGTCCTAGAAAAATATTGGCATTATAAAAAGGTTTGGCAATGTACAAGGAGAAACTTGAAAGATATATTAAAAAACTTTTTAGAAAAAAAATGGAGAGAGCTATTATTTAGACAGAAAACATTTGTGTATTTAATTGAGGTGGATATTAAAGAAAGGGCATTACTTTTGGGTTAAATATTTTCATCCCAAAATGAAGGTGTTATTTTGAAGTAGGGTTTGATTCTCTGACAAATGAGTAAGATTATGTTGATGATACTGTATGAATGTCTAGCTGTTCCCAGACAAATGAATTTACAACACATTTACTGGTGAACTGCAGCTTCATTGCAAAATATCTTAAGTTACAATTTTCTATAGATTTAACATAAACACACAGAAGGATACTGGAACATACCTCTGAAGTAGCAGTTAAAGTTGGACATTATTCATTTTGTTTTCTATAAAGCTTGGATGGGTTGGTTTGGTACCTCAAAGTGGTCCCCATTCCTTACAAAACTTTGCAAACCTGTGTTGTGTATTTCAAAAAAAGGCATTATTTCAGCCATGATCAAAAATAACAATTTTAATTGAATGTTTAGAGGCAAATCATAGTAATTGAATTACTGTAAGTTTTAAAAAAGTAAATCTTGTGGACCTCGTTTTTGTGTATTTGTAGCATGTAATGCATCACTACAGTTTAATACTAAATGTCAGATACAAGACTTTTAGATTTATTTTAATAGTAATTGACAGCTTTTTAGATTTATTTATTACATGCTTACTGTTTCTCTTTGAATACTCTTCAATATTTGGACGAAAAAAATCTGTATGATAGTCATTAGGCTTATATGATTGTTTGAGAACATTCCTAGCACAGACCAAATTTGTGTCTTTACAGAAATATATGGAATTCATTATTTTGTTTTTATTTTTATTTATACAAATACAAAAATGGACAAATGAATGTGAATAGGTCTTTGAAATACATGTATAACAATTTTTATCCAAAGGATGAATTAAAAAGGAAGGTTTTTGATCAGTTTTTGTAAATCATGCAATAAAGTATGAAATGATTACAGATGAAATAATTCTGCTATTCTTTATGATAAAAAGGTAACATTGTTCGTAAGGAAATATTCACTAGCTGGCCCGATGGATTCATTGACTTGGTTATCACAAAGATTACTGCATTGAATACCTTGTGTTTCTACAATAATGGATGAAATCAACACCAGGTGTACAGGATTTATAGGTGGAATAAATGCTCTTTATCCTAAAAGTGTAATATACCACTAGTCAGCAAATTCCTAGTACTCTATATTCTTAATCCGAAAGGAAGAAAAAAATTCAAGTAACAAAAATGTTCCATCATTTAAAAAAACATTGGCATCTGCTTTTGCTAATTAATAACTTTTTGTTCCATTGGAATAATATGAGAAATGGTTTTGTATTGGAATGTACATGCAAACAAAATTGTTCTTGTGTTCTGTATTTCAGACGATATTTTAATAGACAGCAATAAGCCCATTTCTGATAATAAGCCCATCAATATGTAATGTAGTTGAAAGTAGAATAGTCAGTACAATGTTTCTTCATCTGTGATAAGCCCTACTTGTGGCCCCATTAATCTTCCTTAACTAAAGGAGTTTTCCTTAACTTGAAATCTCCCGTAGAAAAGCATTACATCAGTTAAGGAAATTCCCTTAAATTTAAGTTTTCCTTAACCTTCTTAATGCTGCTATGGTAATGAAGATTTCCTTCAGTTTAGGAAGATTCATGAAACGGGGGCCTAGACTTACTGGTGGATAACATTACAAATCACATGATTAACTTTGTGATGATAAACAAATGTATTTGGATTAACTGAATGAAGAGATTTGTAACATCTATCAATTTTGTTGATTACCATTAATATGATAATGATTAGTTTATCACATGTTAGTCTTTATATAAACTTTGTCTCTATATATTATGAAAATACTTGTTTGTAGATTAAGATTGAATACTCTATATATGACAATATGCTTATATAAAACATTTCAATGTTTAATTAAAAGATACAAGAATTGTTTTTTATCAGCTAGGGTAAAATCTTTATGCATCATTTAATATGAGAAATAACTGGGGAACACATTTTAAATGAATTTCCATTGTAGTGCATTATTTATGAACATTCCATCAAATAAAAAGAAGTTTGAAAACTTTTATCAAAACTATCTAGCATAATGATGGTTTTTTCCTCAGATGGCTCGGCTCGATTTGTAGACTGGTAAAGTATCTGGCTTGACTGGATGAACCACTCAGTTGGCAAATCAGGGTCAAGTGAACGGCACATTCCATTTTAGACCGATAAACAACAAATCGAGTGTAGCCGAATCGTTGATTTAAATAGAGCTGTGTTCCCTTCTCTCCTTCATACCTAGTCATATTGTTGTCTTTTATTGAATTATATTTCCCAAGAGTAACTATATGTATCTGCTTGTCTTAATGGAGTTTGTATACACTGTGTTTGTCAGAAGATGTATCTGATACCTGGACATGGAGGTTGGTCATTAAATGATTTGGAAAATGTATTCAGCAATTTTATTTTTTAGCTAAAAATTCAAACCATTATTAGAGAAGTTTT